TTTTTAATATTTTCATATTTCGATTTGTAGATTTATGGATTTTCTAACTTCACCCCACTTTACTTCCTGTTGTCATTGTGTCAATGTCGATGTTGAACAAGCAACAACTTATATTATTAGTTCCACAAATGAGATAGGGTGGGTGGGCGGGGTTAATATTTTGCCTTTTTCTCTTAATATTCATAGTATTCTTGTTCATGTTTTTAATTTCTTGTAACGAAACAAGTATTTTGCACTTTTTCGCCCTCTTGATTCACGGTGAATAAAAAAATCACCACAATCGAGATGGGGCGGGTGGGCGGGCTTACATTTTTCCTTTTCGTTTTAATATGTGTAGACTTCTTTCCACAACAAGAAACTTAAAACATGGAAAATTTGTATAAGAAAATATCCATTTATGCAATTAATCCATATTTCGTTGCAAAACCCATTTTAACCATATTTTAAATTGCTTGTTATGAAAATGTGGCTGTGTATATTGAAAAAAAATGTCAAAATATAAGATCCGCCCACCCACCCTATCGCAATTCTGATGATTATTTTTATTCATGGTAAGCGGAGGGGCAATTGCAAAATCGATATTTCCCTATACAAATTTACCATTTTAAACATGTTTTAAGTTTCTTGTTGTCGAAATAAGTTTACACATACTAAGAAAAAAATAGACAAAATGTAGCCCCGCCCTCCCGCCCTATCTTAATTGTGATTTTCGTTTTTTCCAATTGTGCACTGTTTTGATTTTTAAGTTTCTCAAATTTTAATCTTTCGATTTTTCAATTTTTCGTCTCTTGAATTTTACGTTTTACAAAGTTTTCATTATATACTTTTACATTTTTTCATTTCTGATTTTTCAGTTTTACAATTTTGCAATTTTTCCATTTTTTTTTATTCGAAAACTTGAAAAATCGAAGCATTAAATATCAAAAAACTAAAAAATTGAAAAAAATTGAAGTGAAAAATCGAAAAATTGCTAATCGAAGAACTAAAGAAACGAAAAATTCAAACACTGAAATACTAAAAATCGAAAAACTTAAAAATGGAAAAAATTAATAAATCGAAAAATTTAAAAAAAACACGAATGGAATCAAGAAATTGGATGGTAATATCTAAACATTATAACATCGGCAAAATTCTGAAGTCGAAAAACTGTAACACTAAAAAATCAAAAAATTGAAAAATTCGTAAAATTGAAAAGGTGACAAAATTTTCAAAATTATAGTTATGAAAAATTGTACAAACCAACAAGTGGAGAATCGAAACATTTTAATTCGAAGACTTAAGAAACGAAAAAAATTATGAATCAAACAATTGGAAAGAAAAAACAAAACGAAAAATTGGAAAACCCAAAAATTGTAAAATAGAAAATTATAAAATCGGCAAAATTGTAAAGTCGAAAAACTGTGACACGAAAAAATAAAAAAATTGAAAAATAAATATCGAGAAAATTAAAATTCGAAAATCTGAAAAATCGAATAAATGAAAACTGGAAAAATTCTAGATTCGTAAAATTGAAAAAGTGGGAAATTTTAAAAATTGTAATTATTACTCATATAAAATGAAAACTAGAGAAATTGCAAATCAAAAATTGAAGAAACGAAAAAATTAAAAACCGAGAAATTGAAACATCTAAAACTGAAAAAATGAAAAATTAAAAAATCCAAAAATTGAAATATTTCACAGTTAAAAAAAAGAAAAATCATAAAATCAGATCATTGAAAAAACAAAAATAGAAAAAAAAATATATTAACCGAAAGGAAAAATTGCAAACCGAAAAATTGAAGAAACGAAAAATTGGACAATTGTAACACTGAAAAATTAAAAATTGAAAATTCATGAAACTGCAAATTAAAAAATTGCAAAATTTAAAAGTTGAAATATCCAAAACGAAAAATTTAAAAATGAAAGATCGAAGAGTTTCATGTCGTAAAATTACCAATTGAAAAATTGCAAAAATAAAAAAATTGAAGAATTTGAGGAAGAAAAACAAAAAATTATAAAATCGTAACATTAAAAAATCAAAAAACTGTAAAAAAAAGAAAATGAAAAACTATAAGGAGAAATTGCAAATCGAAAATTTGACAAAATGAAAAAGTGATTTCTCTAGGAGAAATTAAAAATATGTTTTTGAGTATCATGTTCAAAGAATACTGTGTGTATTAAGAAAAAATTGAAGCTAAATATTAAGCCCCACCTATACCTGCCCTGATCCAAATAGTAATGAAGTGTTCATTCGTTGGCAGATCTAGGGGCGGAGCCTAATTCCATATTTCCTTACAAAAATGCACCCTTTTAAACGTGTTTTAAGTTTGTAAAAATTAAAAAAGATCCTAATTGAGATGGGGTGGGTGGGCGGGGTTTACATTCTGCATTTCTTTCTGAATATAAATAATAATCTTTGAACAACACAATACTCATTTTTAATTTGTTCTTATTCTTATTTTGCAGTTAAGCCTCGTTCCCTTGGTTCACGACGAATAAAAAAATCATCACTTGAGATAGGGTGGGTGGGCGGGTTTAGATTTTGCCTTTTTGTTTTAGTATATGTAGACTTTTTTTGGCAACAAAGTTAAAACATGTTTAAAATGGAAAATTTGTAGAAGGAAATATCGATTTTGCAATAGGCTCCGCCCCATAATTGCAAAATCCATGTTTTCTTGCAAAAACCACTTTAACCATGTTTTAAGTTGCTTGTTATGAAAAGTTGGCTGTGTATATTAAGAAAAAAAAGACAAAATATAATCCCCGCCCACCCGCCCTCTCTCAATTCTGATGATTTTTTTATTCATCGTAACCCGATTCTATGTTTCTATTTCTCAATTTTTCAGTTTTTCGAATTTCGTTTTTCCAAAATTTCAATTTCTCGATATTTCATTTTTGGAATTTTTCAATTCTACCATTTTTAAGTTTTAGATTTTCCGATTTGTCGATTTTTATGTTTCGATTTGTCTACTTTTCCACTGTTCACGTTTTCGATTTTTCAATTTTTCGATATTTTAAATATTCGACTTTTCAATTTTTTGTTTCCTATTCATTTTTTCAATTTGCAATTTTTCAATTACTCAATTTTTCGATATTTTAGTTTTACGATTTTTCAGTTTTTCCATTTTTGAGTTCTTGACTTTTCCACTTTTCACTTTTCACCTTTACGATTTTTCGATTCTTGATTTTATCGACTTTTCGATATTTTAATTTCTGGATTTTTCGATTTTTCTGTTTCGTCTTTTCAATTTTTCGATTTCTCGATATTTCAATTTTGAAATTTTCCAACGTTTTCATTAAAGTTTTAGACTTTTCTTTTTTCATGTGTAGATATTGTATTTGTCGATTTTTCAGTTATTCGGTATTTTAACTTTACAATGTCTCGATATTATCAATTTTTCATTTCGTCAATTTTTCAATTTTCGATATTCCATTTTTCAATCTTCAGATTTTTCAATTTTTGGCTCTTCAATATTTCGATTTGTAGATTTATGGATTTTCTGACTTCGTTTTCTCAATTTTTGATTTTTCGACTTTTTGACTTTGCCATTTTCCGATTTTTCAGGTTTTTGATTTTCTTTAAAGAGAAGGCAAATGCCAGTTGTCTTGAATTAATATTTACAATATTATCAACCTTTAGTATTTCAGTTGGTATCAAAGTTTGCCTGTAATTGCTAGAACTGTCACCCCACTTTACTTCCTGTTGTCATTGTGTCAATGAATTAATTGTTTTTAAGCATGAATTGAGTTCGTTCAGTATTATCGATGTTGAACAAGCAATAACTTATATTATTAGTTCCACAATTGACATGGGGTGGGTGGGCGGGGTTAATATTTTGCCTTTTTCTCTTAATATTCACAGTAGTCTCCGAACAACACGATACTCAATACATGTTTTTAATTTCTTGTAAAGAAATAAGTATTTTGCAGTTAATTTCCGCCCCTTTGATTCACAACGAATAAGAAAAATCATCACAATTGGGATAGGGTGGGTGGGCGGGGCTTATATTTTGTCTTTTTTTTCTTAATATACATAGTTTTTATTTGTACAACACGATACTCAAAAATATGTTTTAATTGTTTGTAAAGAAATAAGTATTTTGCAGTTAACCTCCGCCCCTTGATTCACAACGAATAAAAAAATCATCATAATTTGGATAGGGCGGGTGGGCGGGGCTTATATGTTGCCTTTTTTTCTTAATATGCATAGTTTCCTTTGTACAACACGATACTCAAAAATATGTTTTTAATTGTTTGTAAAGTAATAAGTATTTTGCAGTTAAGCTCCGCCCCCTTAGTTCACGGCGAATAAAAAAAATCATCACAATTGAGATAGGGCGGGTGGGCGGGCTGAGATTTTGCCTTTTTGTTTTAATGTGTGTACACTTCTTTTCACAACATGAAACTTAAAACATGTTTAAAATGGAAAATTTGTATAAGGAAATATCCATTTGTGCCCCATAATTGCAAAATCCATATTTCCTTGCAAAAACCATTTTAACCATGTTTTAAATTGCTTGTTATGAAAATGTGGCTGTGTTTATTGAAAAAAAATGTCAAAATATAAGCCCCGCCCACCCACCCTATCGCAATTCTGATGATTATTTTTATTGATAGTAAGCGAAGGGGCAATTGCAAAATCGATATTTCCCTGTACAAATTTACCATTTTAAACATGTTTTAAGTTTCTTGTTGTGAAAAGATGGCGACACATATTAAGAAAAAAGGGCTAAATGTAAGTGAAAGTCAAGTACGTCGGCCGACTCTGTACTTTTACATTTTGTCGACCTTTTATGACCCCTAGGGTACGAAAAAATGGGTCTCCCGTTTCCGTCTGTCTGTCTGTCTGTCTGTCTGTCTATCTGTCCATCTGTCTTTAGGCCACCACTCTTACTAAGTCTCATTGTCTCATTGCATTGAACGTTCGCGTAAGTGATATTCCGCTATCAGGAAACGGCGCTGTTTATTCCCCAGCACTCCGCTTTTATTCGCAAGTGCCGATAATATCTCCGTTTTTTCAGATCTATTAGCTTCACGTTAGTCTCCCCCACGAGTTCGTATGCTCAAGCGCCCAATTCACGAACGCAAGATAAGAAAATTAGATTTGAAAATATCACAAAGATATCTGCAAGAATCTCTGGTTTGCAATTCTTGGATGTCCCCAAGGGAGACGAAATGCGCATCCATAACCTTAGACTCGAAGAGGAGTACTTGTTATTCGAAGTATTCTCTACCATAATGGGATATTTACAACCAAGCGAATTTCCTGCAGGTAAAGTAGCTCAAAGAGGACGCTAATATTTCGCACTAGAAACTACCCAAACTGCACAAGTGCGTCGCTAAATATTTACGAGCCGATGAAATTCGGGACACCGGTTTTCGCCTAACCCAGTTTCGGGAGGAATTAGGCGGACGTGCCACACTTCGCCGTCTTACAACAAAACACGTTCATTCATAGAAAATCAATTTCGACCGTTAAAAGCATGTCCAAGATGGGAGCGCACGAGTCAAAGTTAAAACTCTAAAAGCATCAGAGGCCCGAAGACCCACTACGAAAGAACACATTTTTAAATATTTAATAGTCGGGGATAATTAATCTAATTAGGCGCATGACAGAACTTAATTTACTTCGGGGAGCTTTACATCGTAATTGTTTTTTCGGAACAACGACCTAAATTATTTACGCGTATTCCAGAAAACGTGATATTTGACTGCGGTAATTGAATATTCAAACTTCTACCTGAGTCACATCTGCGAGGCTTTCTGGAAATTTGTGTTCGGGGAAATTTAAATTAATCGCGCTGAAACTAATTTCTCATGAATCTAGCAACAATTATGAATCGTCGGCATGATCGAAGAAAAAAAATAATCCACTTGCAAAACGGTAAATTACGGGAAAATCTAACTTAAATAAAACAGAGACGTCTAATTTGAGTCAATATTTACTCAAAGACGATTATAATTTCGTTCAAGTTTAATAACGAAACTAAATACTGAAGCTTCAATTGAACAAACTCTATTGATCGTGACCTTTCCGACGGAATCTAAATTTTAAGTTTGCCATTAAAAAAACAAATGTTTATTTTTTTAACAAGATCCTTAGAACCCGTAGTCAAAGGCGAAAGCTTTGAAATAAATATTTCCTCAGAAATGATAATCGCTCGAAACTCACAGTATCGAAGCAACCTTTTAAGAGAGCTTTCTGCTACAGATTTTTGAAAATCGGTAAGTGGTAAGTCCTGAACAACCCCATATAATTGATATTTAATCCTTTCATTGTGTAACGTCCATTGACACCGTTGTGTCCCGTGAATCTTTTCCTTGTTTCAGGTCTTATACGTGACGCTCTCCAGAAGCAAGTTCCATTTCACCTACTCGTCTTTCAGGTAATGGACCGGACAGCTCCGGAATAACAAAGTTCTGAGTATAATCAGGACCTGGCGACGGCGACTCTTTGACTAAAAACCACCTCATTTTCATAACTTTGAAACTTTTAAATACCTTCACCCTCGCTGGAAAATTACGCTGTTTCGGCACATTTATTACACCGAATTTAGATATTAACTAAAATCTTAGAACTCTCTAAATTAAGGCGAGAGTGACTTTTATCCTGAAAGTAGGTAATTCTCACTCAATCTAATAAGACATTAAACCTTTTACTCAATTTATTATATTACTACCCTCGACGACAGTGTATTTGAGACTAATCGCTAACTGTTTTAATTTAATTTAATTTAATTTAATTTACTAACAATTGCCGACTGAAGTTATATTAGACCTATACTATTTTCTTAGAGGGTATGTTAGTTGCCAATATAAGATCTGCCAAAATGAGTCTTATCTTAGCAAGTACTAGCCCCGCCCACCCACCCTTTTCTCATTCTAACAACTAATTAAATTCCTGTTCGATCTTCTACCGTTCAATCAGAGCAGATAAAATTAATCACTGAAATAGAGGCGGGTGGGTGGGCGCGGTTAATTATGTGTTCTTCTAACTAAAAAACTTGAAAAATGGGCTACTCTTAACTTTTTTTGTTGTACTATTTGCTGTAAGATTTACTTCTTATTCAGAACTTGTTTGATCTATAGACCACAGCGCACTCAGGCCAATATCGTCTCTAAGCGATTTATCTGTAAGCCGACTTTCGTTAGACGATCTGGTCGGACTTTACAACGAAGAAGTGAACAAAGTTCTTGAACATTTTGACGATTTGATACATAATGTTCCCGAATAACAAAATCCTCATTTCTTTACGAGAAATTAAAAACATGTTTTAGAGTATCGTGTTGTCTAAAGAATACTGTGTATTCTTCTATACTAAATTTTCAATTTTTCGACTTCCCATAGTTTCGATGTTTCACTTCTTCAATTCTTCAATTTTTCGATTTTTCAGGTTTTTGAGTTTTAAATTTTTCGATTTTTTAACCTTACGATTTTACGACTTTGCTGTTATACTTTTTAGATGTCTCAATTTTCCAATTTTTAATTTCTCAATTTTTTAGATATTTCTTTCAGTTTTGTAATTTTTTAATATTTCGACTTTTCGACATTTGGTTTTTTGAACTCCTGGATTCTCTGATTTCTCGATTTTTTACTTTTTGGATTTTCAATTTTTCGTTATTAAACTTGGGATTTTTCAATTTTTCAACTTTTCGATATTCTAAATTTTCAACATTTAAAATTCTGGATTTTTCGTTTTCCCGAGCTTTGAATTTTTCAATATATCAATTTTGGGCTTTTTCAATTTTTTCATTCTCTACATTTCCTATTTCTTGATTTTTTTATTTTTCGATTTCTCAATTTACCGATGTTTTAGTTTTACGATTTCTTTTTTTCTCGTCGATTTGTAAATATTTTCGGTCTTTCAATTTTTCACAACTTTGACGTTTCTAAATTTTTGGTTATTCAGTTTTTCGATTTTTCAAATTTTTCATTTTTTGAAATTTTTTTTGCTTTTTCAATTTTTAAATTTTTCACTTTTTTGATTTCTCAATTTTTGTATTGATTTCAATTCTGGGATTTTTGAATTTTTTGATTCTTTAATTTTTCTTCTATTTTTCAATTTTTCGATATTTCCGCTTTGGGATTTTTCAGTATTTCGATTCTTGGACTTTTTTATTTTTTAGATTTTCAATTTTTAGTTAAACTTAAGATTTTTCGATTTTTCAAGTTTTCAGTTCTTCTTTATTTCAATATTTCAATTTTCCGGATTTTTTAATTTTCCACTTTCCAATTTTTCTTGTTTAAAATTTTTGATTTTTCAGTTTTTAACTTTTTTCCTCGGCTTTCGACTCCTCTGATTATTCGATCTCTCGATGTCTCATTCTTTGAATTTTTCGATTTCTTGGTTTTTCGATTTTCTACTTTTGGGCTTCTCAATTTTTCGATTTTCCAATTTTTCAACCTTTCGATTTTTCAGTTATCCGGTTTTTCAATCTTTCAATTTTTAAATTCTCGGTTTGTCGATTTTTCAGTTTTTAGCTTTCTAAATTTAAAATTTTCGAATTTTAATTTTTTGATTTTTAATTTTGAATAAGAATAAGAATAAGAATAAGTTTATTGCACAACTAGAGCAGCGTACAAAAAGTTAGAATGCAGGCTAACCCTGATACTAAAACGATTCTAACTCATACCTACACACATTAAACATACAATATACAATTAGAATACGTAAATAAGTAAAATAAATAAAACAACCTAACAAACATAGTCAAACTTAAAATCTACGAACATTAACATTTATGTCGTGACCATTTAAAATATCAGACTTAATTCTCTTTTTGATACAAGAACTGGATGCATTTAAATATATCAAAAAATTATTGTTAATATGTGATGCTAAGTAGGAGAAAGACGACTGAAACTTTGCAGTTCTGTGAACAGGAATCTCGAGTCGTTGATCAACATGTCTTAAGTCTCTTATATTTATTTCATTTCTTTTAATCATTTTAACAAAAAGATATTCAGGAACATGAGTTTCTAGAATCTTTTTAATGAAATTTACGTAATGTAAGAAACGCTGTTCATTTAGCTTAATTTTGCGATATTTTTATTTTTCAATGTCTTAAATTTTAATTTTTGTGGTTTTTCAGTTCTTCAGTATTTTTAATTTTCAATTTTTAAAATTTTGACGTTGCTAAATTTTCAGTTTTCCGATTTCTCATTTATTAATCTATTTTTGATTTTCCCATTTTTCCACTTCTCAAAGTATCGATTTTTCACTTCTTCAATTTCTCAATTTTTCGATTTTTCAGGGTTTTGATTTTTCAGTTTTTCGATTTTTTAAGCTTCCGATTTTTCGACTTTGCTTGTATAATTTTTCGATGTCTCAATTTTCCAATTTTTTAATGTTTCAATTATTTGGATATTTCTTGCAGTTTTAGGATTTTTCAATATTTCGACTTTTCGTCTTTTCGATTTTTGGACTGGATTTTTTGATTTCGCAATTTTTTACTTTTTGATTTTCAATTTTCCGTTAAACTTTAGATTTTTCAATTTTTCAACTGTTTTATACTTTGATTTTGCCCATGTTTTAATTTTTCAATTTTTAAAATTCCAAATTTTCTTTTTCTCGAGTTTTCAGTTCTTCATTTAAATTTTTCAATTTTTCCAATTTTAAAATTTTTGATTTTCCAATTTTTCAATTTTTCCATTTGTTGATTTCTCGATTTATCGATGTTTTGATTGATTCATCAATTTTTCAATTTTTTTCTTCTCGGTTTTCGACTCCTCAATTTCTCGATTCTCTTATTTTTCGATTTCTCGATGTCTCAGTTTTTGAATTTTTCAATGTTCCGATTTCTCGGTTTTTTGATTTTTTACTTTTGGGCATCTCAATTTTTCGATTTTCCAATTTTTCTGTCTTTCGATTTTTCAATTTTTCAATTTTTTTTAATTTTCAATTTGTGGATTTTTCAGTTTTTCGCCTTTTTAAATTTTAAATTTTCGAATTTTTATTTTTTAATTTTGGGATATTTTTATTGTTCAGTGTTTTGAATTTCCAATTTTTTGATTTTTCAGTTCTTCAGTATTTCTACTTTTCATTTTATAAAATTTTGACGTTGTTAAATTTTGAGTTTTCCGATTTCTCAATTAATCTATTTTTGATTTTCCCATTTCTCGACTTCTCAAAGTTTCGATTTTTCACTTCTTCAATTCCTCAATTTATCGATTTTTCAGGTTTTTGATTTTTCAATTTTTCGATTTTTTAAGCTTACGATTTTTCGACTTTGATTTTTTATTTTTTGGATGTCTCAATTTTCCAATTTTTTAATTTGTCAATTTTTTGGATATTTCTTTCATTTTTGCGATTTCTCATTATTCCGATCTTCCGACTTTTCGATTTTTGGCCTCCTGGATTTTTGATTTCTCGATTTTTTACTTTTTGGATTTTCAATTTTCCGTTAAACTTTAGATTTTTCAATTTTTCGACTTTTATACTTCCATTTCCCATGTTTTAATTTTTCAATTTTTAAAATTCCAAGTTTTTCGATTTTTCAAGTTTTCAGTTCTTTATTTCAATATTTCAATTTTCCGGGTTTTTAAATTTTCGACTTTCCAATTTTTCTTGTTTAAAATTTTTGATTTTTCTATTTTTTGATTTCTCGATTTATGAAATTCAGGTGTTTCGACATTTTGATTGATCTATCAAATTTTCAATTTTTAACTTTTTTTCTCAGTTTTCAACTCCTCAATTTCTCGATTTTCCTATTTTTCGATTTCTCGGTGTCTCAGTTTATCGATTTTTCAATTTTTCGATCTCTCGATTTTTCAGTAACCCGATTTTTCAATTTTTCAATTTTTTAAATTCTCGATTTGTCGATTTTTCAGTTTTTCGCTTTTTAAATTTTAAATTTTCGAATTTTTATTTTTTGACTTTTTAATTTTGCGTTATTTTTATTCTTCAATGTTTTAAATTTTAAATTTTTTGATTTTTCAGTTCTTCAGTATTTCTATTTCTCAATTTTTCAAATTGCTAAATTTTTAGTTTTTCGATTTATCAACTAATCTACTTTTGATTTTCCCATTTTTCGTCTTCTCAAAGTTTCGATTTTTCACTTCTTCAATTCTTCAATTTTTCGATTTTTTAGGTTTTTGATTTTTCGATTTTTTAATTTTATGATTTTTCGACGTTGCTTTTTTAATTTTTTGATGTTTCAATTTTCCAATATTTTAATTTCTCAATTTTTTGGATATTTCTTTCAGTTTTGGGATGTTTCAATATTTCGATTTTTCGATTTTTGGACTCCTGGATTTTTTGATTTCTCGATTTTTTAATTTTTGGATTTTCAGTTTTCCGTTAAACTTTAGATTTTTCAATTTTTCCGACTGTTTTTAATTTGATTTCTCAATTTTTCAAATTTTTAATGTTTTAATGTATCAATTTTTAAAATTCCAAGCTTTTCGATTTTTTGAGATTTCGGTTCTTCTTTATTTTAATTTTTCAATTTTTTAAATTCTGAGGTTTCTATTTCTCGATTTATCGATTTTTCAGTTCTTCGATTTTTAAATTTTAGATTTTTCGATTTCTCCATTTTTGGATTTTTCAGTTTTTCAGTATTTTCATTTTTCAATTTTTCAAATTTTGATGTTAAATTTTCAGTTTTCCGATTTCTCTTTTCAGTTCAGTTCTTCGATTTTTCGATTTTTCGACTTTGCTTTTTTGGTTTTTTGGATATTTCTTTTGGTTTTGGGATTTTTCAATATCTCGATTCTTCGACTTATCGATTTTTTGATTTTTGGATTTTTCGATTTTTCAATTTTTTATTTTTTGAATTTTCAGTTTTTCGTTTTATAAAGTTTTTCAATTTTTCGACTTTTCGATATTTCAATTTTCAATTTTGAAAATTCTAGATTCTTCGATTTCTCGAATTTTCAGTTCTTCTATATTTTAATTTTTCAATTTTCCGAATTTTTAAATTTTTGCTTTTTCAATTTTTTGAGATCTCGATTTTGGTCTATCTATATTTCGAAACATCGAAAAATTGGAAAATTGAAAAATTAAAACATAAATTGTATAATCGAAAATTTAAAAATTCCGAAAATTGAAAAATTGAGAAATCGAAGTATAAAACAGTCGAAAAATTGAAAAATCTAAATTTTTATAAACGAAAATTTGAAAATCCAAAGTGTAGAAAGTCGAGAAATCAAAAAATCCAGAACTCAAAAAATCGAAAAGTCGAAGAAAAATTGAAGAATCGATAAACGAAAAATCACAAAATTGCACGAAATATACAAAAATTGGGAAAAAAAAAACTGAAAAATCGTAAACTTGAAAAACTGAAAAATCGAAACTGGGAAGTCCAGAAATGGGAAAATAAAAAAAATAATTAGTTCAGAAATCGTAAAACTGGAAATTCAGAAACGTCAAAATTTGAAAAATTAAAAAATATTGAAAAACTGAACAAGCGAAAAATCTAAAAATCTAAAATTTCAAACATTGAAAAATTAAAATATCGTAAAATTGAAAAATGGAGAAATCCAAACATCAACAAATCGAGAAATCGAAACTCGAAGATTTTAAAAATCGAAAAATTGAAAAATCGACAAATCAAAAAACTCAAAACCTGAGACATCGAGAAATCGAAATTCTGAACGTTTAGAGTCGACATTGGCCTGAGTGCACTCCGGTTTGCGGATCGAACAAGTTCTCAGGCGACGAACTGCCTCATTATTTCAAAGTAACGAATCATATTGTTTTTATTAACTATTTGGTGACAATTTCGTTAAAAGCTGTGAAGAGACCAAATTTCTCTGTCATTTTTATTCTTATTTTTCAGAACAGTCTGAGTCAGATGAACTCTGTTCTGAATTTGTATTTGAGCTGATTGAATTTTCAGAGTGTTGAAGAAAATTGTTCGCTATTATTTAAAAATATCGTTAATTTCTACGAATTTTAAACTTGTCACGTTTTCACATTTTTTACGTATTTTCGTACTAATAAATCTTACATACAGTATAAAAACCCTGCCTTGTCAAAATTTTCACTTTTCTCCATAAACCCGCCGACTTTTGCATCTCAAAGCCACCTTGTCACCACCCATATTCCTAAAACTTCCGCTTCCTGTAAATAATAAGAAAATCCCTCTCAGTTCTCCCGAATTACAACGTCGAAATGCCAGCGAACGTGTCTCCCACTTTTTCGCTAAATTATTCAAAGTATGCGCACTACTCCAAAAGCAAACTAAACCAATTACGTAGGAATGTATCAATTATGCTCAACTATGTCTTCCAAAGTCTTAAAAAACAAAAATCCAACACAGAATAAAGTGTTCCGTAAACTCTGTAATTACGTTGTGCAAATTTTTCACTCCCTGCAGACTTATCTAAGTTTGTTAATTTTTCATTTCGACTAACATAATTAGCAAGTGTTTCAAACGAGATTTAAAATTCATCCGAGTTTGGCGATTTTTTTTAATCTGCCACTTAAAAAAATTGCTTTCGTTATGAATCGCAGAATTATGGATATTGCCAGAATTCCGGCTTCCGAGGAATCCTCGTTCCGAACTGATGGAAGTTTCTATTGAAATAATTAACAATTAATAACGTGAATTCGGCTTAGGCCGGCTCATTTTAATAATTTTCTTAAGTATTTAAATCAAGGGAAGACAGGGCCTGAATTATTCGCGACAGGTTTCGCCTTGACGCTCATCTGGTTAATGGAGGGCCTAATTAGGGCGTTTTTATACTTTGATCAAATTCGTTCTGCCACACGTGTTGTACACCCGAGTACTTAGGGCAATTTATGGCGCGAGTTCTCAACTCACCAGATTCGCTAAATATAATCGTTTCCTTTAAGTAGTTTAGGCGTCGCAGGAAATTAATATAAAATTTAAGCACAGTCGTGATCTTCCCCGTTCCCTTCGATCCAGATAAAGTTATAAAATAATCATCCTCCTCTTAACCTACTTACGAAATTCGCATTCCAGGCTTTAATAGCTTGTACTTATTTTTAACACGTGCTCAAGCTTCTCAAGACGGAGTTCGCAACTCTGGGATGGATTATCTTCTGGACTACAGTGACAATCGCGATTCCATTCATAACTCTGACTTACTTTTGCTGCTCGAGGGGGAATCTGCATAGACTTCGAGACGAGTCGTCAGACGTGACTCCAGATTTCAGAGACAAGTGTGTGGAGCGCACCCTCACAGTTCTGCTCTTGTTCTTTTTAATCCTGCAACTGTAAGTACGCGCTGTGCCGCCTGAGAACTTGTTTGATTTACAGACCAGAGGGCACTCAGGCTAATATCGACTCTAAGCGATTTGACCTATAAACCGACTTTCGTTAGAGGTGATCTAACCGGTTTCGAATATCTGGTCCGACTTTACAACGAATAAGTGAAAATACTAACGATTTAATACATAATATTTCAATTTTGAGGTTTTGCAATTTCTGTTATTTTTCGAGTTTCAGTTTAACGGTTTCTCAATATGACGATCTTTCAGTTTTACGATTTCTTAATTTTTCTCCTCTTCAATTTTATGATTTTTAAATATTTTGATTTTTCAATTTTTCACAATTTGATGTTTCTAAATTTTCAGTTCCTCAATTTTTCGATTTTTTAAGTTTTCGATTTTTCAAAATTGTAGTTATTTACTTTTTTCGATTTGTAAATTTTTCACTTTTTTAATTTCTCAGTTTTTGGATTTATTTCAATTCTGGGATTTTTGAATTTTTCAATTCTTTAATTTTTCTGTTTCTCGATATTTCCGCTTTGGAATTTTTCAGTATTTCGATTCTTCGACTTTTCGATTTTTTGAGTCTTCGATTTATCAATTTTTCAACTTTTCGATATTTTAATTGTTCAACTTTTATAATTCTGGATTTTTCGTTCTCTCGAGCTTTTAATTCTTCTATATTTCAATTTTTCAATTTTCTGAATATTTAACTTTTCGATTTTTCGATTTTAGCTTATTTCGGTTTCTTAATCTCTTGACTGTTCGACTCCTCTATTTCTCTATCATTTGGTTTTTCGATTTCTCTATATCTCAGTTTTTGAACTTTCGCCGTTTCGTTTTTTCGTTTTTCAGTTCTACGATTTTTTAATTTTTCAATTTTTTAGATTTCGGAGTTTCGATTTCTCGATTTGATTTTTTAAATTTTAGATTTTTCAATATTTAACTTTTCGATTTTTCGATTTTGGCTTATTTCGGTTTCTCAATTTTTCGACTTCTCGAATTTTCAACTCCTCTAGTTCTCGATTCATTGATTTTTCAATTTCTCGATATCTCAACTTTTGAAATTTTCGATGTTTCGATTTTTCGATTTTTACTTTTTATTTCCAATTTTCGATTGTTTAATTATCGGATTTTTCAATCTTTCAATTTTTTAAATTTTGGAGTTTCAATTTCTCGATTTTTCAGTTTTTCGTGTTTTAAATTTTAGATTTTTCAGTTGTTCGGTTGTTTAATATTTCGATTTTTAAAAAAATTTCAACTCTTTCAAACTTTAAATTTTCAATTTCTAAAATTCTAAATTTTTTGATTTCGCGACTTTTCAGTTCTTCCATATTTCAATTTTTCAATGTTCCGAATTTTGAAATTTTCGATTTTCCAATTTTTCTTTTGTAAAATATTTCAATTTTTCAATTTTTTAATTTCTGAATTTTTGGATATTTCTTGCAGTTTCGGGATTTTTCGATTCTTCAATTTTTTTTATATTTTTTAATTTTTCGATATTTCAATTTTGAGATACATATATCAGTATTTCGATTCTTTCTACTTTTAGATGTTTTGACTTGTGGATCTTTTTAATCCCCGATTTTGTACATTTTGAATTTTCAATTTTTCGACTGTTTTATACTTCGATTTCTCAATTTTTCAACTTTTCGAAATTTTAAGTTTTGAACTTTTAAAATTCTGGATTTTTCATTCTCTCGAGCTTTCAATTTTTCGATATTTCAATTTTGGGCTTTTGCAACTTTTTCATTCTTCAAATTTTCGATTTCTCGATTTTTTTATTTTTTGGTTTTTCAATTTGCTGATGTTTCAGTTTTACAATTTCTCAATCTGCCAATGTTTCAGTTTTACGATTTCGGAATTTTACGATTTTTAAATATTTTGATTTTTTAGGTTTTCACAATTTTGACATGTCTAAATTTTCAGATCTTCAGTTTTTCTCTTCTTCAATTATACGATTTTTAAATATTTCGATTTTTTAATTTTTCTCAATTTTGACGGCTCTAAATTTTCAGTTGTTCAATTTTTCGATTTTTGAGTTTTCGATTTTTCGAAATTGTTTTTTACTTTTTCTACATTTTTCACTTTTTTAATTTCTCAATTTTTGGATTTATTTCAATTCTGGGATTTTTGAATTTTTCGATTCTTCAATATTTGTTCTATTTTTTAATTTTTCGATATTTCCACTTTGAGATTTAGTATTTCGATTCTACGACTTTTCGATTTTTCGACTTCTGGATTTTTTGCTTTTTGGATTTTCAGTTTGTCGTTTTTTAAATTATAGATTTTTCAGTTTTTCGACTGTTTAATATTTTGATTTCTCAAGTTTTCAACTTTTTGTGACTTTAATTTTTCAATTTTCAAAATTATAGATTTTTTGGTTTCCCAACTTTTCAGTTCTTTTATATTCCAATTTTTCAATTTTCCGAATTTTTTAATTTTCGATTTTTTGATTTTCTTATTTCTCAATTTTTGAATATTTGGTCCAGTTTTGGGAATTTTCCATTTTTCGATTCTTTAATTTTTCTTGTTTTTTAATTTTTCGATATTTCAATTTTGAAATATTTCAATATTTCGGTTTTTGACTTCTGGATTTTTTGATTCCTTGACTTTGTACATTTTTTTAATTTTCAATTTTTCGTTTTTTAAACTTTGGATTTTTCAATTTTTCGACTGTTATACTTCGATTCCTCAATTTTTCAACTTTTCGATATTTTAATTCTTCAACTTTTTAAAATTCTGGATTTTTCATTTTCTCGAGCTCAATTCTTCTATATTTCAATTTTTCAATTTTTCGAATTTTGAAATTTTCGATTTTTCAAATTTTTAATGCTTCGATTTTTGTGTTTTGATTGTTCAGTTTTTTATTTTTTGACTTTTCGATTTTTCGTCTTTGGCCTATTTCGGTATTCTTAATTTTTTGAATTTTCGACTCCTCTATTTCTCGACCTTTTAATTTTTCGAAGTCTCAGTTTTTGAATTTTTCGACCTTTCAATTTTTTGAATTTTGGAATATCAATTCTCGATTTTTCGATTTTTCAATTTTTCGAGATCTAAATTTTAGGTTTCCGAATTTGTATTTTTTGATGTTTGGATTTTACGATTTTTCTATTTTTCAGTTTCTTCAATTCTGCGGTTTTACAAATTTTTTGTTTCCATTTTTTGCTACATTGTGTTTTCGATTTTTAGAGGATATTTCAAGTTTTCCTTTTTTAGTTTTTCGATTTTTCATTTTCAATATTTTAATTTTTCAATTTTTAAAATTTTGCATTTTGCGGTTTCTCGAGTTTTCAGTTCTTCTATATTTCAATTTTTTAATTTTCCAAATTTTTTAATTTTCGATATTCCAATTTCTCTTTTTTTAAATATTTCGATTTTTCAATTTTTCAATTCTTCAATTTTTCTAATATTTTTTAATTTTTCGATATTTCAATTCTGTGATTTTTCAGTATTTCGATTCTTCGACTTTTCGATTTTTTGATTTCTCGGTTTTGTACATTTTGAATTTTCAATTTTTTTTTTTAAACGTTAAATTTTTCAATTTTTCAACTGTTTTCTACTTCGATTTCTAAATTTTTCAAATTTTCGATATTTTAACTTTTCAACTTTTAAAATTCTGGATTTTTTCGTTTTCTCGAGCTTTCAGTTTTTCAATAATTTAATTTTAGACTTTTCCAATTTTTTCATTTTTTAAAATTTTCGATTTCTCAATTTTTTCGTCTTTAATTTTACAATTTTTAAATATTTTGGATTTTTCGGTTTTTCATAATTTTGACATTTCTAAATTTTCAGTTCTTCAGTTTTTCGATATTTAGAAATCGTTTTTTGCTTTTTCGATTTCTAAATTTTTCACTTTTTCCATTTCTCAATTTTTGGATTTATTTCAATTCAGGAATTTTTGGATTTTTCGATTTTTCAATTTTTCTTCTATCTTTTAATTTTTCGATTCTTCGACTTTTCGATTTTTAGACTTCTGGATTTTTTATTTTTGTTTAATATTTCGATTTCTCAATTTCTCAACTTTTCGATACATTAATTTTTCAATTTTTAAAATTTTAGATTTTTTGATTTCTCGACTTATTTGTTCTTCTTTATTTGAATTTTTCAATTTTCCAAATTTTTGTGTTTTCGATTTTCTAATTTTTCTTTTTTAAAATATTTCGATTTTTCAATTTTTTAATGTCTCGATTTTTGGATATTTCTTCCAATTTTTGGATTTTTCAGTTTTTCAATTCTTCAATTTTTTTTTATTTTTAATTTTTCGATATTTCAATTTTGAGATACATATTTCAGTATTTCGATTTTTTGACTTGCGGCTTTTTTAATTCCTCGATTATGTACATTTTGAATTTTAAATTTTTTGTTTTTTAAACTTTAGATTTTTCAATTTTTCGACTGCTTTATATTTCGATTTCTCAATTTTTCAACTTTTCGATATTTTAATTATTCAACTTTTTAAAATTCTGGGTTTTTCGTTTTCTCGAGCTTCCAATTTTTTAATTTTACGAGTGTTAAATATTTTGATTTCTCAATTTTTCACAATTTTGTCGTTTCTAAATTTTCAGTTCCTCACTTTTTCGATTTCTAAATTTTTCACTTTTTTAATTTCTCAATTTTTGGATTTATTTCAATTCTGGAATTTTTAAAATTTTCGATTCTTCAATTTTTCTTTTATTTTTCAGTTTTTTGGTATTTCCGCTTTGGGATATTTTAGTATTTCGAATCTTTGATTTTTGGATTTTCTGACTGGGATTTTTTACTTTTTTGATTTTTAGTTTTTCGACTGTTTAATATTTCGATTTCTCAACATTTTAACGTTTCGAAAATTTAATTTTTCAATTTTTAAAATTCTAGATTTTTTGATTTCTCGACTTTTCAGTTCCTCTATATTTCGATTTTTCAATTTTTTAAAATATCAATTTTTGGATATTTCTTCCAGTTTTGGGATTTTTTAATTTTTCGATATTTCAATTTTGAGATATTTCAGTATTTCGATTCTTCGACTTTTCGACTTTTTGATTCCTCTATTTTGTACATTTTTAATTTTTTATTTTTCGTTTTCATAATTTTGACGTTTCTAAAATTTCAATTCTTCAATTTTGCGATTTCTAAATTTTTCATTTTTTAATTTTTCAATTTTTGGATTTATTTCAATTCTGGAATCTTTAAATTTTTCAATTCTTCTATTTTTTTTTCTGTTTTTTTCAATGTTTCGGTATTTCCGCTTTGGGATTTTTGAGTATTTCTATTCTTCGATTTTTTGATTGTTTTTCAATTTTTACTTTCGATATTTCGATTTTGGTCTATTTTGGTTTCTTCATTTTTTGACTTTTCGACTCCTCTATTTGTCGATCCTTTGATTTTTCGATTTCTCGATATCCCAGTTTTGAATTTTTCGACGTTTTGATTTTTGGATCTCTCGGTTTTTGATTTTTTACTCTTCGGCTTTTCGATTTTTCAGTTATGCAATTTTTCAATTTTTCAATTTTTTTAATTTTGGAGTTTCAATTTCCCGATTTTTAAGTTTTTGGTTTATTTCGATTTCTCAATTTTTCGACCTCTCGACTTTTCGACTGCTCTAGTTCTCGATTTGTCGATGTCTCAGTTTTTGAATTTTTCGATGTTTCAATTTTTAGATTTCTCGATTTTTCGATTATTCAATTATCCGATTTTTCAATGTTTCAATTTTTTAAATTTTGGAGTTTCAATGTCTCGATTTTTCGATTTTTCAATTTTTTAATTTTTCAATGTTTTAAATTTCAGACTTTTCTATTTTTCAGTTCTTCTGTTCCAATGGTTTTATTGTTCAATTTCTTGATTTATCAATTTTTCAATTTTTAACTTTTTGGACTTTTTACTTTTTACTTCCAATTTTTCGATGTTTCGATTTTCCTATTATCCAATTTTCAAATCTTTCAATTTTTAAAATTTTTGAGTTTCAATTTCTCGATTTTTAGATTTTTCAATTTTTCGATTTCTAAATTTTAGGTATCCGAATTTGTATTTTTTGATGTTTAGATTTCTTAAATTTTCGATTTTCCAATTTTTTGATTTTTCGATTTATTGAGATTCTGACATTTCAATGCTTTGATTGTTCAATTTCTTGATTTATCAATTTTTCAATTTTAAACTTTTTCGATTTTTTACTTTTTACTTCAAATTTTTCGATGTTTCGATTGTTGAATTATCTAATTTTTCAATTTCTCGATTTTTCGATTTTTCAGTTTTTCGGTTTCTAAATTTTACGTATCCGAATTCGCTATTTTTTTTTGATGTTTTGATTTTACCATTTTTCAATTTTTCGATATTTTAATTTTTCAGTTGTTCAATATGGATTTATATTTTTCAATTTTTCAACTTTGCTGTTTTACAATTTTTTTATTTCCATTTTTGCCACCTTGGTTTTTCGATTTTTAAAGTATATTTCAACTTTTCAAGTTTTAGATCTGTCATTTTTTCAAGTTTTTCAATATTTTAATTTTTCAATTTTTTTACACTCCGATATCTTATATTTTCGATTTTCTAATTTTTCGTTTTTTGAAATTATTAAATTTTTCAATTTTAAACCTTCCGAATTTTTGATTTTGGCCTATTTCGGTTTTTCAGTTTTTGGATTTTTTGATTTCTCGATGTCTCAGTTTTTGAATTTTTCGATGTTTCGATTTTTCAATTAAGTCGGTTTTTCGATTTTTAACTTTTTGGCTTTTCGATTTTCCAATTTTTCCATGTTTCGATTTTTCAGTTTATTTTAATTTTTCAATGTTTTGAATTTCAGATTTTTCGATTTCTCGATTTTCCGGTTTTTCAGTTCTTCAGTATGTATTTTTATTTTCCAATTTTTCGATTTTTGGATTAGTCAGTTTTGGGATTTTACGATTTCTTGCCATCTTGGTTTTTCGCTGTTTTTTTCAACACAACACAAATTTCTAAAACATTGCAATAATATAAATAAATAAGTAAATAAGAAGTTATTCTCAGTTAAACAAATAATAGTTGCATGTGCCTATATCTTGCAGAAATTCTGATCGCTTATTAGAGTCGAAATTGGTCTGAGCGCGCTCTGGTCTGTAGATCAAACAAGTTCTCAGGCGACGACTGTCCAATGCTCAAGTTTTAAATTTTCATTTTTGTTTTTTTTTTTTTTTTGTTTATTTTAATACATAGCTTTCCCATCGGGATTCTCTTCGCCGGCAACGAGCAAATCTCCCGCCAAATGTCGCACTCCGCCGCCGCCACCGCCGCCGCCTTCGACGACCTCTCCACCTTCCTGCGGAACACCCACATGCAGATCTCCTTCGTCGCCACTTCCTCCACCGACATCACAATCGAAGCCATCCGAAAAGACCTAGAAGGTAATCAATATCGAGTGCATCTAGGAAAAGTTTACGACACCCGGAACTCTCCTAGTCTGTTAAAAATGCAATAAACTTCAAGCATCCCCGCATAAAATCCACCTAAAGTCAGTCCTCGACATGCACCGTGTTTTATTTTACTCTTTTCACCCAGATATTGAAAACTTGCTCGGTCGCCCCTTCCAGGAGGAGCTGGCTCGCGAAACCGGGATTGATGGCGCGCTGGAGGAACTCGAGGAAGTGAAAATAGGTAAAGAATGGCTTGCTAAATATTTGATTGTGTAACGTTTACTTTAGGGAGTGATGAAGTCACTTTGTTGGCTACGCAGTTGTTGGATGAATGTGCTTTAGTCAAGACGGAGGGAAACTCGCTGCAAGAAAAATTAACAGAAGTTTCGAGACAATTAACGCTTGCTAGACAGCAGTGTCGGTCGAGGGACCGAGCTTTGTGCTATACGTTGCAGTACACGGGGCTGGAGGTGGTATTTTCGTGCGGAAATGTGAGTATGCGGGAATCAAATAAAAATAAATGTTTTGAGCGGAGATCGGGATTCTTGTTGGTGTAATCGTTATGAATGCATTGTGTAAACGATGCAGCGAGCTTTTATTATTTTTGTTCCAGTTTTCAGTACATTAGTTTTTGATGGAACGTTTTACGAAAGCTTTCTGTTTATTCATAAAATTAATTTTAGAGTTATCTGATTAAGTACCCGGAACAGTGTGCTCGCAGACTATGGAAAAACTTTTCAATATGCAGCGCCAACACAGGACAGATGGATTTACGAGGTGTTCGGAGAAGCAAGAGGTGAAACATCCAAAATCGTAGAACGTACCTTAATTAAAAAGAAACAAGTTTTATTTAACAATGGAATTAGTATAAATTAAAAACTTAAGGAAATATTTATTTGTTGAAAATTTCTGGACCCGTTCTTCTTGGTGGCCCACTCCACTCTTAAAGTGCAAATATTTGTCTACGTAACGTTTATTTTCTATGAAATATTACACAATCTTCATAAAAGTTCACAAATTATCTTTTTTTTTCAACTTCATCATGTACTACAATCAAACATCTTTTTTCAAGTCAAATTTTTACATCTCGTCTAGTTCAAAACAACGAATTTCTCACTATATTTACATTCTGTGCTTAAATTCAGCCACTTGTTGACGAAAAAATTCTTCTGTTTCTTTTAATTTAATAATATATTATTCTATAACGATTTAAAGCAATACCTTAAAATCTCGTGATGAAAATTCAATTCCTTTTATTGTTTCAAATTTCTGAGCTGTCAGCCATAGTTCCATTTTTGAAAATATGCCCACTATCAGACTGTTTTGGCATCATTAAGAATAATTTTTATTGATATAAAAAATAAAACTTATTTATATGATATTGACAATACGTAAACTTCACAGAACTAAACAGAAAGGAGTTAATTATAAAATTGAAAATGAAAAAAATTATTGCCAAAAAAAATTAAACAATAGAAAAAAGACAAAACCGTATTGCTAATGAAGTCGTAATTTAATCTGACTTGACCTGACATGATGTGATGTGACTTGACAAAACTTAACTTGACATTACCTGACTTGACAATACCGGATTGATATGACCTGATATATTTAGATTAGAATTTGACATGATCCGACTTGATGTAATCTGCCTTTGACATAGTCGGACTTAACATGACGGTTGACTTTGACATGAATTGACATTGAAATGACTCAAATTTGGCCTGCGTGATTTTGTTGATACCTGACTGAAAAGATTTGACTTTGAAATCAGCTAATTTTAACGTGACCTGACTTTGACATGACCTAATTTTTTCATGAGTTAACTTTGACATGACTTGACTTTGCCATGATTTGACTTTGACACGACACTACAGGAACTGATATTAGCTGGGTTGAACATGACCTAATTAATCGCAATCCGAATTTGGCATGATCCGACTTCATGTAATCTGACTTTGACATAGTCCTATTAAACATTACATTACATCACATTACATTACATCACATTACATTACATACAGAAAATACAGAAACACTAGAAAATCTAGAAAAACCAGAAAATAAACAAAATCCAGGAAATCCACAAAAACAACAAAGTTGCAAAAGTTCGAAAAAATTCAAAAGACTCCGGAAAATGCAGAAAATCCATAAAATCCAGAAAACGCAAAAAGTATAGAAAATATAGAAAATATAGAAATTCCGGACACTCCAGAAATCCCAGAAAATCCAGAAGTTCACAAAATCCAGAAAATCTGAAATATCCAGAACGTCCAGAAAGTCCAAAAAATCCAGAAAATTAAAAAAAATGCAGAAAATCTAGAAAATCCATAAAATCCAGAAACTCCAGAAAGTCTAGGAGTACAGAAAGTTCATAAGTCCAGAAAACCACAAAATAGAGAAAATCCAGAAAGTGCAGAAGTCCAGAAAATCCAGAAAATCCAGAAAATCCAGAAAGTCGAGAAAGTCCAAAAATTTTAAAAAATCCACAGAATCGAAAAAATCCAGAATATTTAAAATGTCCAGAAAATCCAGAAAATCCAAAACATCCAGATAATTCTTGGGCATGACTGGACATTGGCATGATTTCACTTTAACATGGCTTGATTATGACATGACTTAGATTTTACAGGACCTGATTTTGACATGACATGTTTCTGACAAATTGACTCTAACATGGCTTAACTTTCACATTATTTGTGTTTGATATGACTTGATTTTGACACGACTTGACTTTATATAACTTAACTTTGACATGACTTGAGTTTGATTTTGACTTGACATTCCTATAACTTGTCTTTAACACGACTTGATTTTAACATGTGACTGATATTATTTGATCCTGACATGGCTTAACTTTCACATTACCTGATTTTATTTCACTTGACTTTGGCATGACTTTGATTTTGTCTTGACGTTGACATGACTTGACTCGGACACGACTTGCTTACACACGATTTGATTTTGACATAACTTGCTTTTGACATGACTTCACTTTGGTATGACTGGACATCGACATAACTTGACTTTAACATGGCATGACTATGACATAGCTTGTCTTTGACACGATTTGATTTTGATGACTTGATTTTAACAGAAATTGATTTTGACATGAATTAAATCTGACACGACTTGACTTTGACATGATTTAATTTGGACATGACTTGACTTTGACATGACTTGCTTTTGACATGATTTGACTCTGACATAGTTTGACTCTGATATAGCTTGAATACGAGATGGTTTGACTTGGGTATAACTTGATTTTAACACAAATTGATTATTGACATGTATTGATTTTGAAATGGCGACTACGAAATATTGTGCCTTTCACATTATTTGTCTTTGACATAATTTTTCTTTGATATGATTTGAGTCTGACACGACATGACTTTGACAACTTAAATTTATGACTTAACATAACTTCGACATGACTTGTCTTTGATTTTGTCTTGACGTTGACATGACTTGACTTTAACATGGCATGACTATGACATAGCTTGGCTTTGACACGATTTGGTTTTGATATGACTTGATTTTAACAGAACTTGACTTTGACATGAATTAAATCTGACACAATATGACTTTGACGTGACTTGCTCTTGACATGATTTGACTCCGACATAGTTTGACTCTGATACAGCTTGAATACGAGATGGTTTGACTTGGGCATAACTTGACTTTAACACAACTTGATTATTGACATGTATTGACTTTGAGATGACTTGACTCCGAAATATCGTGCCTTTCACATTATTTATCTTTGACATAAGTTGTCTTCGATATGATTTGAGTTTGACACGACATCACCTTGACAACTTGAATTTATTGACCTGACTTTTTAACATATTTTTCAGATTTTCCAGATTTTTTGGATTTACCAAGTTTACTAGGTTTTTGGTTTTTCCGGATTTTTTGGATTTTCTAGACTTTCCAAATTTTCCAAATTTTTCAGGTTTTTCTGATTTTGCAGATTTTTTAGATTTTCCAGATTTTTGGACTTTCCAGATATTTTGGATTTTCCAGATTTTTTGGATTTTTCCAGATTTTTTGGATTTTCTCGATTTTCTAGATTTTTTGGATTTCCTGGATTTCTTAGATTTTGCAGAATTTTTTAATTTTCCGTATTTTCCAGAAATTCCAGATTTTCTAGATTTATCAGATTTCACAGATTTTAGTGAATTTTCCAAATATTTTGGATTTTCTAGACTTTCCAGATTTTGGGAATTTTCAAAATTTTCCAGAGGTTTGGATTTTCCAAATTTTCCAGATTTTTTTGATTTTCCAGATTTTTGGATTTTCCAAATTTTCCAGATTTTTGGTTTCTAGGATTTTTTGGATTTTCCAAATATTCCAGATTTTTTTTCAGATTTTTTGGACTTTGACATAACTTGACTTTAACATGCCATGACTATGATATAGCTTGTCTTTGACACGATTTGATTTTGATGACTTGATTTTAAGAGAACTTGATTTTGACATGAATTAAATCTGACACGACCTGAATTTGACACGACTTAACTTTGACATGATTTAATTTGTACATGACTTGACTTTGATGTGATTTGCTTTAGACAAGATTTGACTCTGATACAGCTTGAATAAGAGATGGTTTGACTTGGGCATAACTTGACTTTAACACAACTTGATTATTGACATGTATTGACTTTGAAATGACTTGACTACGAAATATTGTGCCTTTCACATTATTTGTCTTTGACATAATTTATCTTTGACATGATTTGAGTCTGACACGACATGACTTTGACAACTTAAATTTATGACTTGACTTTGACTTGACAAATAATTCGACATGACTTGTCTTTGAGACGACTTGAATTTATTGACCTGATTTTTTACCATATATTTCAGATTTTCCAGATTTTTTGGATTTACCAAATTTACTAGGTTTTTTGTTTTTTCCGGATTTTTTGGATTTTGTAGACTTTCCAAATTTTCCAAATTTTTCAGATTTTTCAGATTTTCCAGATTTTCTAGATTTTCCAGATTTTTTGGACTTTCCAGATATTTTGGATTTTCCAGATTTTTGTTTTTTCCAGATTCTTTGGATTTTCTAGATTTTCCAGATTTTTTGGATTTCCTGGATTTCTTAGATTTTTCAGATTTTTTTTAATTATCCGTATTTTCCATAAATTCCAGATTTTCTGGATTTACCAGATTTCACAGATTTTTTTAATTTTCCAAATTTTATGGATTTTCCAGATTTTCCAGATTTTTTAGTTTTTCCAGATTTTTTTGATATTCAAAAATTTTTGGATTTTCCAGATGTTCCAAACTTTAGATTTTTCAGATTATTTTTATTTTTTCAAACTTTTGGGACTTTTCAGATTTTTTAATTTTTCTAGATTTTTTGGATCTTCCAGATTTTTCATATTTTTTGGTTTTTCCAGATTTTTCATATTTTTTTGGATTTTTTAGATTTTTACAGATTTTCTAAATTTTCCAGATTTTTTGGTATTTCTAGATTTTTTGGATCTTCCAGATTTTTTGGATTTTTCAGACTTTTCCGGATTTTCCAAATTTTTTAGTTTTTCCAGATTTTTTGAATTTTCCAATTTTTTAAATTATATGATGATTTATTTACGGTAAAAATCTGTAGAATTAGAATTAACAAAAATAATGACAAAGCATTAACTATAAAAAAGGCGCTTAGCGAGTAGTTTAAAATTACTAAAAGATTGACAACGAAATTTTCCAGATTTTTTTAATTTTCCAGATATTTCATTTTTTTTTAATTTTCCAGATTTTTTAAATTTACCAAATTTTCCAAATTTTTTGGTTTTTGCAGATTTTTCAGTTTTTCCAGTTTTTTTGGTTTTTCTGGACTTTTTGGTTTTTCTAGATTTTTTGGATCTTTCAGATTTTCCATATTTTTTGGTTTTTCCAGATTATTTGGATTTTCCAAGTTTTCCAAGTTTTTTGGATTTTTCAGATTTTCTAGATTTTTTGGTATTTCCGGATCTTTTGGTTTTTCTAGATTTTTTGGATCTTCCAGATTTTCCATTTTTTTTCCTGATTTTTTGGATTTTCCAAATTTTCCAGATTTTTTAGTTTTTTCTGAATTTCCAGATTTTCTGGATTTTCCAAATTTTTCAGATTTTTCAAATTTGTTTGGATTTTCCAGATTTTTTGGATCTTTCAGATTTTCCAAATTTTTTTGTTTTTTCAGATTTTTTAAATTTTGCAGATTTTCCATATTTTTTGGTTTTTCCAGATTATTTGGATTTTCCAAGTTTTCCAACATTTTTGGGTTTTTCAAATTTTCTAGATTTTTTGATATTTCCGGATCTTTTGGTTTTTCTAGATTTTTTGGATCTTCCAGATTTTCCATTTTTTTTCCTGATTTTTGGATTTTCCAAATTTTTCAGATTTTCCAAATTTGTTTGGATTTTTCAGATTTTTTGGATCTTTCAGACTTTCCAAATTTTTTGGTTTTTCAGATTTTTTAAATTTTGCAGATTTTCCAGATTTTTTGGATTTTCCAGATTTAGAGATTTTCCAAATTTTTCAGGTTTTCCAGATTTTCCAAATTTTTTGGTTTTTCTAGATTTTTTTGATCTTCCAGATGTTCCATATTTTTTGGTTTTTCCAAATTTTTTGGATTTTTCAGATTTTCCTAATTTTTCAGATTTTCCAGATTTTTTGGATTTTCTGAACTTTCCAAATTTTTCAAATTTTTCAGTTTTTCAGATTTTCCAAATTTTCTGGATTTTCAAATTTTCCAGTTGACATAATTTGACTGATATGGCTTGACCAAGACGTGACTTGATTTGGGTACAACTTCATTATTGGCATGCCTTGCCTTTGAAATGACTTAACTCCGAAAGAGCTTGTCTTTCACATATTATTATTGACTTGACTTGACCCTGGAATGACTTAACTCTGACTAGACCTGAATTTGACACGAGTTGACTTTGACACGTTTTAAATTACTTGACTTGATTTTGACATCACCTGACCTGACATAATCTGATATTGATCTAACTTTGAGACAAGTTAATTTTTATATGACTTGACTTTCTTTATCATGAGCTGACTTTAACATGACATGACCTGATTTGATGTGATCTAAACTGTCTTAATCTGACTTGACATCTATCGGTAAGGGATATTTATCACTGTGGAAAAAAAATCACGAAGACTAACTTGACGTGACCTGACTTTGACATGACCTGAACTGACCTTGACATAACCTCACTTGACATGACCTGACATCGAGAAGACTTGAATTAACATGACCTAACTTAATATGGCCTAAATCTGACGTGTTCTAACCCCACTTGGGCAGCCTTTGACATTACCTAACTTATTTGACATGACATGATTTGAAGCGATCTAACTTTGAGACGAACTGACTTTGACACGGTCTGTTTTTACATTACCTGGCTTTGACCTGACTTGAGCTAACCTAACATATACCGACGAGAGAGATGTTTATCACAAAAAATGACTTTGACGTGTCCTGACTCGACCTGACTTTAATTTTGATACGACTTTATCAGATCTGACTTGATCTGACTTGACATGTATCAGCTCTCTTTGAGCTCAAGATCCAAAAAATTTGTAAAAAGACTCAATCAAGTTAAAAAATGGACCAAAATTGATTCATTTGAGCAAAATTTTCGTCGAAAACATCGAAACGCCAAGACAAATAAATTTGAAATATCAAAATAAAATTAGCGTAATCTTTGTGCTTTCATCTTTGCAAATATAATTTCCACCTTTCAACTGAAGCCAAATCAACAATTTTTCCGCTACTCAATTCCAGAACAAATTTCGTACGTCACTTATTCATCCTCTCCTAAGCACCCAGTAATTGCATTTAACTGTATTAGAGGGTTTCAGGGCTTCCAGGAGATATCATACTTGCAATAATTGCGCAAGGTAATATTTAATCGCGGTCGCCGGTTTCCTATCTAGATTCGTAATTAGCACAAGCCATAGATTACCAGATAATTCCAGAAAGACATTTGTGCTTATACGTACGGCTCCATTTGATTCTCTCCCGAAATTACATCCTCAATTCCTGTTCATTACCGACTAAACACCGCTCGGACATTTGTCTATTTACATACGAATACCTGCCGGCTTTGTGCCCGCGGCCCCAAAATATTACCCCATAAATCAATTCATAACCCGACCATATCACTCATCAATTCCTCAGAAAACGCGAAGACAACAAGAACAAAATGTAATATGCGAATCAGTCAAATTCTCCTCGACTCGAGTCGTAAAACTTTAACAGTCCCCATCATCAGGTTGCCATAAAGATAAGAAAATCCAAACGGGCATAAACAAGATGGCAAATCTTACCGCCACCAGTAAAAGCGACGACTCTCCAACGAAGGCGATTTTTGCAAATTAAAACTACAACTTTACTCGCACCCATTTTTTCCAGCTGTCGTCTGACGCGACCATGAGACACCTCGAACGCCTGCAGAAGGAGAAAAACCTGGACAGGAACGTGGAAAAAGCCCGGACCGCTTTCACAAGACTTCCAGAGAGAGTTTCCCGGGAAACGGTCCCCCATGTTGCAGGTAAAATTACGTCCAATTCGGTTTTATGATATCGAGAATATATCAGGCGAAGTGCACCTGATACCGCTTAATTTATTCCGGCGTTATTAATATGAAATCGGGTTTCAACACGGCTCTTATTACAAAGCCGACTAGTTCGCACTTGATTCCTGCAAAAAGAGGATTTTGTGCAGTTAGAGTTCGGCAGGTGGTTGTGACAGATTGGGGGGTAACCGCTGTAATTTTGCCCGTCGATGGAGGAAAATTGCAAATCCATTCCAGGAGTTGCGGTTGCGTTGCATAAGTTGCATTCCTGGAATTGCGCGGGGGGCGGGGGGCGATCGGTTTTGTCAAAGGGAAAGGGTTGCTTGAGAACGGCGAGCATTTTTGTACGATATTTCCATGCTTTGGCGCGTCAAAGTTCTGGATTTTTATTTTTGCGCGGTTGAAATATGCAGCGAATGTAAAAAAACTACACTGAAATTATTTTTAAAGTCTTCCTTAAAGGTTCCTTAAACCTTAGATTGCATATTTTATACATTTTAAACTTTATGTAAACATCTTTTCGCCTTTCCGTCTGCCTGCCCTTTTTATATTCTGGCTTAAATTATCTATATTTTTAATTTATAAGTTATCGTAAAAAATTAAACTTCCCAAAATGAATTTTTAAAATTCTTACAAAGAAGATTTATTGGCCTATATTTCAGGGGCTAGCGAAGTTCTGTGTTAGTAATCTTTAGAACACTTACAAATAAATAAATTTTAGAAATAAACGACCACAAATTAGCAAATTTATAATTTGACTAATGTATGAAAAAAATTTTAATAAACAAACAAAATTATCAGATTTATAAATGAATTTGTTAATGCATAAATCAAAAAATTTATCAACAAAGTTTAATTGACCAAATTTATAAACAAATTAATAATTTCGCGACATTATAAAAAAAACACTAATACTATAAAATACAACAATAAACAATTTTATAAACAAAGTGATAAATAAATTTAAACAAATTAAAAAGAAATTAATAATTAAACTAACATATAAACAAATTGACAAATTGAGAAACAACAAGTAGGTACACAAATTAATAAGTAAACAAAATTTATAAACAAATTCATGGATTATATATATTTATAAAATGGTTAATGAATAAACAAATTTATAAATAAGGTGGTAAATAAATATATTAATAAATAAACAAATCTATCGTCTATAGATAATAAGAAATTTATAAAAAAAATAATTAGTGAAATTTATAAACAAATTGATAAATTAATTAGTTTATAAAGAATTAATAAATCAAGAAATTTAAAAACAAATTAATTAAAAACAAATTAAAAAAAGAACAAATAATCGAATTTATAAACAATTTAATTAGTAAACGTTTACCTAGAATTAATAATAGACAAACCAATTTTCACATAATTTAATATATAAATAAATTTATATACAAGTTATATATATGTTAACAATTTCATAAAGAATGATAAATAAAAAAATTTATGTATAAAATATAAATGAACAAAAATATATAGAAATTAATAGATATTCTAATTTAGAAACAAATTTACGAACAAGTAAAATAATAAATAACCAAAATCATAAACAAATTAGGAAATAACAAAAATATAAACAAAATATAATAAAGATATATTTAAACAAATACGATTAAACAAATTTATAAATAAACTTTAAAATAACCCATTCTGGAAACAAATTAATAAATGAACAAATTTGCAAACAAATTTATAAACAAATTGGAAAAAGAAATTTATAAACAAAGTATAAACATTCCAATTTATCAAAAGATATGAATAAATAAAGTAAAAAATAAAGAAATTTATAAACAAATTTACTAAAAACAAATTTATAAACAAAATATAATTAAGCAAATCTATAAAAATTATGAATGAATGAAAAATTTAATTAAATTTGTAGACAACATGAAAAATTAAGGAATTTATACACAAATTTATAGAGAAATTTATAAACAAATTAGTTAATTAACAAATTTATAAAGAAATTTATAAATGATCAATAAATAAATTTACAAAAGAAAACAACTTGATATGTATCAGTTTGTTTTTTTTAAACATATTAATAACAATTTAGTAAATAAACAAGTTTATTAAGTAAATTGATAATTGAACAGATTTATAAACCCATTTGTAGAAAATAAAAAATGAACACTTTAATAACCAAATTCATCAATGGACAAAATTGTGAACAAACTTATAAATAAATAAATTTATAAACAAATTAATAAAATAACAAATTTATAAAAATAAAAAACATTTAAAGCTATAAATGAACTAATAAGTATATGAATTAATGAAGAAATTTACAAAAAAAATTGACAAATGAACAAAGTTGTTAACAAATTGCTAAACAATTAAATAAGCAAAAAAATTATAAAAGAATTAATAAAGGAACCAATTTATAAATCATTTGAAAAAAGAATCAATTTATAAATAATTTGAAAAAAGAATCGATTCATAAACAAATTAATAAATAAATAAATTGTTAAATAATTTGAATTAAAAATAAATTTATAAATAAATGAACATAAATTAACAAATTTATAATTTGACTAATGTATGAAAACATTTTTTAATAAACAAACGAAATTATCAGATTTATAAACGAATTTGTAAATAGATAAACCAAAAAATTTATAAACAAAGTTTAATTGACCAAATTTATAAACGAATTAATAATTAAAAAACTGATAAATATTTTCAAGCATTAACAAAATTGTAAACAAATTAATAAAACTAAAAATTAAAAAAACACTAATACTATAAAATAACAAATTTTTAAACAGATTTATAAACAAATTGATAAATAAATTTTTAAACAAATTGACAAATGGACAAACAACAAATCCGTACACAAATTAATAAGTAAACAAGATTTATAAACAAATTGATGGATTAACACGTTTATAAAATGGTTAATGAATAAACAAATTTATGAACAACATAATAATTAAACAAATGTATCAAAAAAATTACGAACAAATTTATTTTTGGATCTTCCAGATTTTCCAAATTTTTTGGTTTTTCCAGAATTTCTTTTCCAGATTTTCCAGATTTTCGAGATTTTCCAAATTGTTCAGGTTTTCCAGATTTTCCAAATTTTCCAGGTTTTCAAGTTTTTTTGGAATTCTAGATTTTCCAGTTTTTCCAAATTTTTTGTTTTTTCTAGATTTTTTTAATCTTCCAGATTTTCCATATTTTTTGGTTTTTCCAAATCCTTTGGATTTTCCAGATTTTCCATATTTTTTTAATTTTCCAGATTTTCCAATTTTTTTGGATTTTTCAGATTTTTACAGATTTTTGTTTTTTTCAGATTTTCTGGATTTTCCAGATTTTTTGATATTTCTGGATTTTTAATCTTCCAGATTTTTTAGTTTTTCCTGATTTTCCAGATTTTCTAGATTTTCCAAAATTTTCATGTTTTTCAAATTTTCCAAATTTTTCAGATTTTCCAGTTTTTTTTCTGATTTTCAAGATTTTTTGGTTTTTCTAGATTTTTTGAATTTTTCAGATTTTTCCAAATATTTTGGTTTTTCCAGAATTTTTTTTTGATTTTCCAGACTGTCCAGATTTTTTGAATTTTCAGATTTTCCAGATTTTTTGGTTTTTCCAGATTTTCCAGATTTTCTAGATTTTTCCAAATTTTTTTGGATATTCTAGATTTTTTGGATTTTTCAGATTCTTTGGATCTTCCAGATTTTCCAAATTTTTTTGAAATTCCAGATATAATATGAGCAGGATTCCTCGTTGCTCTTTTTCTATTCTGGCTTAAATTATCTATGTTTTTGATTTATAAGTTATCGTTAAAAATTAAACTTCGCAAAATCAATTTTTAAAATTCTTACAAAGAAGATTTATTGGACTATATTTCAGGGGCTAGGGAAGTTCTGTCTTAGTAATCTTAGAACAGTTACAAATAAATAAATTTATAAATAAACGAACATAAATTAACAAATTTATTATTTGACTAATGTATGAAAACATTTTTTAATAAACAAACGAAATTATCAGATTTTGAATTTATGAATAAACCAAAGAATTAAATAAATTTAAAAACAAATTAATAAACATTCCAATTTATCAAAAAATATGACTAGATAAAGTAAGAAATAAAGAGATGCATAAACAAATTAAGAAATTAACAAATTTATAAACAAAAAAAAATCGATAAAAATTATACACAAATTTATAGAGAAATTTATAAACAAATTAGTTAATTAACAAATTTATAAAGAAATTTATAAATGCTTAATTTACAAAAGAAAACAACTTGATATGTATCAGTTTGTTTTTTTTTTACATATTAATAACAATTTAATAAATAAGCAAGTTTATTAAGCTAATTGATAATTGAACAAATTTATAAACTCATTTATAAAAAATAAAAAATATTTAAAGTTATAAATGAATTAATAAGTACATAAAGTGATGAAGAAATTTACAAACAAAAATTGACAAATGAACAAAGTTGTTAACAAATTGCTAAACCTTAAAATTTATACCCAAATTTATAAACAATTCAATAAGCAAAAAAAAATATAAAAAAATTAATAAAGAAACAAATTTATAAATAATTTGAAAAAAGAATCGCTTCATAAACAAATTTGTAAATAAATAAATTTTTAAACAATTTGATTTAAAAATAAATTTATGTATAAAATATAAACAAACAAAACTATTGTAAAAAAGTGAAATAAATTAATAAATATTGGAATTTAGAAACAAATGTATGAATAAGCACATTAATAAATAACCAGATCCGTAAACAAATTATAATAAAAATATATTTAAACAAAATACGATTAAACAAATCTATAAAAATAATTATGAATAAATCAATTAATAATTAAACAAACTTATAAATAAATTGATAAATGAACCAATTCATAAACAAATTTTGAAACAAATTAATAGGTAAATGAATACATCAAAAAAATTAATAAATAAACAATTTATGTACAAGTCATAAGTTAACAAATTTATAAAAAGTCGCCAAACAAATTAAAAAATTGATAAATAAGCAAATCTCCAATCAAATTAATTGATAATCAAATGATACAGAAATTTACGAAAAAACGATTTTTTTAAATAAACAAATTCATGAACAAACTAAAACATATATGGACAAATTTATAAACAAATTGCCATTTAAACACATTTATAAAAAATGAATAAATTCTTCATGGAACAAAATTACGAGCATATTTATAAATGAATAAATTTATAAACATGTTAATAAAATAACAAATTCATAAAAAGTAACAAATAATCAAATATATAAACAAATGGATAAAAAATCAAATTTATAAACATTAACAAAACCCTTAATTTAAATAACAAAAACATTAACAAACCCTTAAATTAAATAACAAAAAAACAAATTTTTTAACACACTAATAATAAAATTTATAAAAAAAAAAATCAAAATTGGTCCGTTTTTAGCCGTGTTGGGCATCATTTCACGCGGAATTTTCTCAGGATTACGATTCCGTATTCGCTTTTGACGTATCTCTTCAAATAAGCGAGAAAAATGCAAATTTGTGTGTCCCCCTTTTTTTTTAATTTTTCAAAATTGGTCCGTTTTCGACCGTGTTTGGTGTCATTTCACGCGGAATTTCCTCAGGATTACGATTCCGTGTTCGCTTTTGACGTATCTCTTCAAATAAGCGAGAAAAAAGCAAATTAGTGTGCCCCCCTTTTTTTTAATTTTTCAAAATTGGTCCGTTTTCGACCGTGTTGGGTGTCATGGATTCTGATAATAAAGAGATTTATACACAAATCTATAGACATATTTATAAACAAATTAGTTAATTAACAAATTTATAAAGAAATTTATAAGTGATCCAATTCTTAAACAAATTAATTATTAATAAATAAAAAATTATTGGTATTGTAGGTCTTACTCAATAAATTAATATGATTAATAAATAAATATACAAAGGAAAACAAGTTGATATTATAACAAATTAATAAATAAACAAGTTTATTAAGCAAATTGATAAATGAAGAAATTTATAAACTAATTTATAAAAAATAAAAAATGAACAATTTAATAACCAAATTCATTATAAATAATTAAATTTATAAACAAATTAATAAAATAACAAATTTATAAAGATAAAAAATATTTAAAGTTATAAATAAATTAATAAGTACACAAATTATAGAACAAAGTTTTTAACAAATGGCTCAACAAATTCGTAAAAGAATTAATAAATGAACAAATTTATAAATAAATTGAAAAAGGAATCGATTCATAAACAAATTACTAAATAAAGACATTTTTAAATAATTTATATATATATAAGTAAATTTATATATAAAAAATTAGTAAACAATAATGTAAGAAAAAATAGACAAATTTTTAAATAAATAAATAAATATATTAATTTAGAAACAAATTTATAAATAAGCAAAATAATAAACAAATTATAAAAAAATATATTTAAACAAAATACGATTAAAAATTTTATAAAATACGTATGAATAAATCAATTAATAATTAAACAAACTTATAAACAAATTGATAAATTGACCAATTCATAAACAAATTTTGAAACAATTTAATAGATAAATAAATACATCACAAAATTAATAAATAAATAAATTTATAAACAATATAATAAATGAACAAATTTACAAACAAATTGATAGTTAAATTTATATACAAGTTATAAGTTAACAGATTTATAAAAAGTTGACAAGCAAATTAAAAAAATGCTAAATAAACAAATTTCCAAGAAATTAAGAAATTTATAAACAAATTAAATGTAATCATTTATAAACAAATTATGAAGACACATTTTCAAATAAAATATAAATAATGCATAGATAAATTTATAAACAAACTAATATATAACGAAATTGTATGAATAAATCAATTAATAATTAAACAAACTTATAAACAGATTGATAATTGGACCAATTCATAAACAAATTTTAAAACAATTTAATAGATAAATAAATACATCACAAAATTAATAAATAAATAAATTTATAAACAATATAATAAATGAACAAATTTACAAACAAATTGATAGTTAAATTTATATACAAGTTATAAGTTAACAGATTTATAAAAATTTGACAAGCAAAATAAAAAATTGCTAAATAAACAAATTTCCAAGAAATTAAGAAATTTATAAACAAATTATACGTAATCATTTGTAAACAAAATATGAAGACACATTTTCAAATAAAATATAAATAATGCATAGATAAATTTATAAACAAACTAATATATAACGAAATTGTATGAATAAATCAAATAATAATTAAACAAACTTATAAACAGATTGATAAATGGACCAATTCATAAACAAATTTTGAAACAATTTAATAGATAAATAAATACATCACAAAATTAATAAATAAATAAATTTATAAACAATATAATAAATGAACAAATTTACAAACAAATTGATAGTTAAATTTATATGCAAGTTATAAGTTAACAGATTTATAAAAAGTTGACAAGCAAATTAAAAAAATGCTAAATAAACAAATTTCCAAGAAATTAAGAAATTTATAAACAAATTATATGTTATCATTTATAAACAAAATATAAAGACACATTTTCAAATAAAATATAAATAACGCATAGATAAATTTATAAACAAACTAATAAATAATGAAATTGTATGAATAAATCAAATAATAATTAAACAAACTTATAAACAGATTGATAAATGGACCAATTCATAAACAGATTTTAAAACAATTTAATAGATAAATAAATACATCACAAAATTAATAAATAAATGTATAAACAATATAATAAATGAACAAATTTACAAACAAATTGATAATTAAATTTATATACAAGTTATAAATTAACAGATTTATAAAAAGCTGACAAGCGAATTAAAAAATTGCTAAATAAACAAATTTCCAAGAAATTAAGAAATTTATAAACAAATTATATGTAATCATTTATAAACAAAATATGAAGACACATTTTCAAATAGAATATAAATAATGCATAGATAAATTTATAAACAAACTAATATATAACGAAATTGTATGAATAAATCACATAATAATTAAACAAACTTATAAACAGATTGATAAATGGACCAATTCATAAACAAATTTTGAAACAATTTAATAGATAAATAAATACATCACAAAATTAATAAATGAACAAATTTACAAACAAATTGATAGTTAAATTTATATACAAGTTATAAGTTAACAGATTATTAAAAAAGTTGACAAGCAAATTAAAAAATTGCTAAATAAACAAATTTCCAAGAAATTAAGAAATTTATAAACAAATTATATGTAATCATTTATAAACAAAATATAAAGACACATTTTCAAATAAAATATAAATAACGCATAGATAAATTTATAAACAAACTAATAAATAATGAAATTGTATGAATAAATCAAATAATAATTAAACAAACTTATAAACAGATTGATAAATGGACCAATTCATAAACAAATTTTGAAACAATTTAATAGATAAATAAATACATCACAAAATTAATAAATGAACAAATTTACAAACAAATTGATAGTTAAATTTATAAACAAGTTATAAGTTAACAGATTTATAAAAAATTGACAAGCAAATTAAAAAATTGCTAAATAAACAAATTTCCAAGAAATTAAGAAATTTATAAACAAACTAACAAATAACGAAGTTTGTGCATAACTTCATAAACAAATTAATAAATGAGCAATTTTTTTAATAAATGAATGGAAATTCAAATTTATAAGAAAAATTGAATAAACAAAGTAGTAAATAAACAGATTCGTAGACAAATTATGAAATTAAGAAATTTATAATACAGTTTACAAAAGACAAATGTATAATGAAATTAATAAAAAATCTAAATTTAGAAGAAATCGATTAATAATTAAATAAAAAAAACAAATTTATAAAATATTTAATATATAAACGAATTCATAAAAAAATAAGAAATTAACAAATTTTTAAACAAGTTAGTTAATCAACAAATTAACAAATTTATAAATGAACCAATTCAAAATTGTGAACAAACTTATAAATTAATTAATTTATAAACAAATCAATAAGTGAATCAATTTAAAAAAACGAATACATAAAAAATTCAATAAATGAATTTATAAACAAATCAGAAAATAAACAAATTCAAAAACAATTTATTAATTAAACAAAAAATATTTCTAATTAACAGTTTTCAAGATATATATTTACGTTTTCATTTTCATATTTAAAAATTCCGATCTCCATTTTTAAAGATGGACATCTGAAATTTTGAAAAAAGTGTTTGATCTGGACTTATTTTTACAAGGTGACTGAGTTTGCAAACTGTGAGTCTTCTCATATTTTATTCAATGAAAGCCTGTATTTTATCACAAATTACACATTTAATCACCCTGTTTAAACAAGTTTAAAACTTGTTCAACTCATTAGACGCATTAAGACAAGGTGACGAAAAAGCTTTGTGTAAACCAAATGTGGCCATTTTTTCCATAAAAATCAATATATCTTGAAAGCTGATAATCAAAAAAAACTTGTGCAGGATATCTTTATTTATTTATTTCATAGAGTTTAAATCTGAGAATACACATGGGGTATTCTTGTGTTAGTGTGTATATTAGCCTTCTTATTTGTCATTGCTTTGTGTATTGTCATAGGCCACCATAAACTCCAAAAAATATTACCCATCCCGATTACAATACTTTGCTCCCACCCCAAATTTTTCCAATTACCCCGTAAACAGCGCCTTTTCGCCAGACCTTCCTATTCCCCAGCCAAAGTTCGTCCCTCACAACAAACTTTTTTCAGAAATAAAAAGCGTGCTAACTCGAAAGCGCACCGAAGTGTATAAATCAGCCCACTCGCTGGACGAATTATCAAGATCCCTGTCGGCTTCGATCAGGAGCGCTCAACAAGCCGCGGTTCGGGCCGTCGAGGCTCTTAACAGGTGGGAATTATGGCGATGGTTATCGGTTTTAGGTAAGCGTTACAAAACTTTATTGTGTTTTAAATGTAGGCTCATTTTCTCCATTAGCGAAAATTAGCGCGATTTCTTCGGAACAGGTTCACCTTGCCGAGTTGATTCGGCGAGCTCTGATTACAATGTGCGATTAATATACGCGAAGGACGGGGCGAAGGCTGATGGGAGTGAGAAATTGCGACAGCGGGAATTTTTATTGTGGCCGAGGCAGCTTCTTAATCATTAATTACATCGCGCTCCAATAAATTATCTCGTGATTAAGTCTGTCGATGGGCGAGTGAATGACCCACTTGGAGTTTTGAAGCTTTTGAGTGGGGTTGGCAGCGGGCTGCTGGTCGTTACGGTGCTGGATTTGGGTCTTAAGGCGATTGAATTCACGGGTTTTACAAATTGAGACCAGCTGTCTTGAGTTATCAGCAAAGTTTTTTCAACAGAAATTACAGTTGTTTAATGGGGTTTGTATAATGCATTTTTCTCCCACTTTTCTAGACCTGAAAATTGTAAAACTGAAACAATTGTTACCCTTTGTACCAATAAAGAAAAATAAGAAAAATGAGTCCTTAGAATACTTGAAACATAAAAAAAACTAAAATCCTTGACTAATATTTTCGAAGTTCTGCGACCTATCTACAAATGTCAGAATATGGAAACTGACCTAAGATTTCAAAGTTTTCCACTTTTAACACAAAAGTTACCAAAGACACTAGAAATTCGTGTCGTCCTTGTCCAGAACATGACCTTAGTCAAGTTTTCGCCCACTGATTTAAATCGTTTAATTTTGTGTCAATTAATAATTGGTCAAGGTTTAATCCACAGAAAAATTTCCACTAATATTTTTCCATTTTTTTATCATTTTTCTGTCATAACACTGAATACATTTTCTTGTAGAGTTCGACCTCTAAATCGTTGAAATATCGAATTTTTTTTAAATCTTCAAAAATTTGAATTTCGTAACAATTCTTTCGAAAATGTTGCTCCATGACCATCAACACGCTATATTTTTGGAATCAGCATGTCGAGATCTACGTCCCTGAATTTTGTCATAATTTTTAGACTACTTTTTTAAAAGTGAAATTTTTCCAATGGTCCCCCCTTCTTCAAATTTCGGCCAAATTTTGACATTTTCGAAACTCAACTAAACACATTTTCTGGTAGTTTTCGAGCTCAAGAATTCACTTTCGGCCTCGTTTCTTTGACCACTCCAACCGTTTTTCCAGAATCGACCGTTGAAATATCGAAATTTTTAGAAATCTTCAAAAATTCGCATTTCGTAACGATTCTTTCGAAAATGTTGCTCCGTGGCCATCAACACGCTAAATTTTTGGAATCAGAATGTCAAGATCTACGTCCCTGAATTTTTTCATAATTTTTTGACTACTTTTTTAAAAGTGAAATTTTTTCAATGGTCCCCCCTTCTTCAAATTTCGGCCAAATTTTGACATTTTCGAAACTCAACTAAACACCTTTTCTGGTAGTTTTCGATCTCTAGAATTCACTTTCGGCCTCGTTTCTTTGACCACTCCAACCGTTTTTCCAGAATCGACCGTTGAAATATCGAAATTTTCAGAAATCTTCAAAAATTCGCAGTTCGTAACGATTCTTTCGAAAATGTTGCTCCGTGACCATCAACACGCTATATTTTTGGAATCAGCATGTCGAGATCTACGTCCCTGAAGTTTTTCATAATTTTAAGGCTACTTTTTTGAAAGTGAAATTTTTCCAATGGTCCCCACTTCTTCAAATTTCGGCCAAATTTTGACAATTTCGAAACTCAACTAAACACATTTTCTGGTAGTTTTCGAGCTCTAGAATTCACTTTCGGCCTCGTTTCTTTGACCACTCCAACCGTTTTTCCAGAATCGACCTTGAAATTTCGAAATTTTTTGAAATCTTCAAAAATTCGCATTTCATAACGATTCTTTCGAAAATGTTGCTCCGTGGCCATCAACACGCTATATTTTTGGAATCAGCATGTCGAGATCTACGTCCCTGATTTTTTTCATAATTTTTAGACTAGTTTTTTAAAAGTGAAATTTTTCCAATGGTCCCCCCTTCTTCAAATTTCGGCCAAATTTTGACATTTTCGAAACTCAACTAAACAGATTTTCTGGTAGTTTTCGAGCTCTAGAACTCACTTTCGGCTTCGTTTCTTTGACAACTCCAACCCTATTTCCAGAATCGACCGTTGAAATATTGAAATTTTTAGAAATCTTCAAAAATTAGCATTTCGTGACGATTCTTTGGAAAATCTTGCTCCGTGACCATCAACACACTATATTTTTGGAATCAGCATGTCGAGATCAACGTCCATGAATTTTTTCATAATTTTTAAATTACTTTTTTAAAAAGTGAAATTTTTCCAATGGTCCCACCTTCTTCAAATTTCGGCCAAATTTTGACAATTTCGAAACTCAACTAAACACATTTTCTGGTAGTTTTCGAGCTCTAGAATTCACTTTCGGCCTCGTTTCTTTGACCACTCCAACCGTTTTTCCAGAATCGACCGTTGAAATATCGAAATTTTTAGAAATCTTCAAAAATCCGCATTTCGTAACGATTCTTTCGAAAATGTTGCTCCGTGGCCATCAACACGCTATATTTTTGGAATCAGCATGTCGAAATCTACATTCCTGAATTTTTTGATAATTTTTTGACGACTTTTTTAAAAGTGAAATTTTTCCAATGGTCCCCCCTTCTTCAAATTTCGGCCAAATTTTGACATTTTCGAAACTCAACTAAACACATTTTCTGGTAGTTTTCGAGCTCTAGAATTCACTTTCGGCCTCGCCTCTTTGACCACTCCAACCGTTTTTCCAGAATCGACCGTTGAAATATCGAAATTTATAAAAATCTTCAAAAATTCGCATTTCGTAACGATTCTTTCGGAAATGTTGCTCCGTGGCCATCAACACGCTATGTTTTTGGAATCAGCATGTCGAGATCTACGTCCCTGAATTTTTTCATAATTTTTAGACTACTTTTTTAAAAGTGAAATTTTTCCAATGGTCCCCCCTTCTGCAAATTTCGCACAAATTTTGACATTTTCGAAACTCAACTAAACACATTTTCGGGTAGTTTTCGAGCTCTAGAACTCACTTTCGGCCTCGTTTCTTTGACCACTCCAACCGTTTTTCCAGAATCGACCGTTGAAATATCGAAATTTTTAGAAATTTTCAAAAATTCGCATTTCGTAATGATTCTTTCGACAATGTTGCTCCGTGGCCATCAACACGCCATGTTTTTGGAATCAGCATGTCGAGATCTACGTCCCTGAATTTTTTCATAATTTTTAGACTACATTTTTAAAAGTGAAATTTTTCCAATGGTCCCCCCTTCTTCAAATTTCGGCCAAATTTTGACATTTTCGAAACTCAACTAAACACACTTTCTGGTAGTTTTCGAGCTCTAGAATTCACTTTCGGCCTCGTTTCTCTGACCACTCCGACCGTTTTTCCAGAATCGACAGTTAGAATATCGAAATTTTTAGAAATCTTCAAAAATTCGCATTTCGTAACGATTCTTTCGAAAATGTTGCTCCGTGGCCATCGACACGCTATATTTTTGGAATCAGCATGTCGAGATCTACGTCCCTGAATTTTTTCATAATTTTTAGACTACTTTTTAAAAGTGAAATTTTTCCAATGGTCCCCCCTTCTTCAAATTTCGGCCAAATTTTGACATTTTCGAAACTCAACTAAACACATTTTCTGGTAGTTTTCGAGCCCTAGAACTCACTTTCGGCCTCGTTTCTTTGACCACTCCAACCGTTTTTCCAGAATCGACCGTTGAAATATCGAAATTTTTAGAAATCTTCAAAAATTCGCACTTCGTAACGATTCTTTCGAAAATGTTGCTCCGTGGCCATCAACACGCTATATTTTTGGAATCTGCATGTCCAGATCTACGTCCCTGAATTTTTTCATAATTTTTAGACTACTTTTTTAAAAGTGAAATTTTTCCAATGGTCCCCCCTTCTGCAAATTTCGCACAAATTTTGACATTTTCGAAACTCAACTAAACACATTTTCGGGTAGTTTTCGAGCTCTAGAACTCACTTTCGGCCTCGTTTCTTTGACCACTCCAACCGTTTTTCCAGAATCGACCGTTGAAATATCGAAATTTTTAGAAATTTTCAAAAATTCGCATTTCGTAATGATTCTTTCGACAATGTTGCTCCGTGGCCATCAACACGCCATGTTTTTGGAATCAGCATGTCGAGATCTACGTCCCTGAATTTTTTCATAATTTTTAGACTACATTTTTAAAAGTGAAATTTTTCCAATGGTCCCCCCTTCTTCAAATTTCGGCCAAATTTTGACATTTTCGAAACTCAACTAAACACACTTTCTGGTAGTTTTCGAGCTCTAGAATTCACTTTCGGCCTCGTTTCTCTGACCACTCCGACCGTTTTTCCAGAATCGACAGTTAGAATATCGAAATTTTTAGAAATCTTCAAAAATTCGCATTTCGTAACGATTCTTTCGGAAATGTTGCTCCGTGACCATCAACACGCTATATTTTCGGAATCAGCATGTCGAGATCTACGTCCCTGAATTTTTTCATAATTTTTAGACTACTTTTTCAAAAGTAAAATTTTTCCAATGGTCCCCCCTTCTTCAAATTTCGGCCAAATTTTGACATTTTCGAAATTCAACTAAACACATTTTCTGGTAGTTTTCAAGCTCTAGAACTCACTTTCGGCCTCGTTTCTTTGACCACTCCAACCGTTTTTCCAGAATCGACAGTTCGAATATCGAAATTTTTAGAAATCTTCAAAAATTCGCATTTCGTAACGATTCTTTCGAAAATGTTGCTCCGTGGCCATCGACACGCTATATTTTTGGAATCAGCATGTCGAGATCTACGTCCCTGAATTTTTTCATAATTTTTAGACTACTTTTTAAAAGTGAAATTTTTCCAATGGTCCCCCCTTCTTCAAATTTCGGCCAAATTTTGACATTTTCGAAACTCAACTAAACACATTTTCTGGTAGTTTTCGAGCCCTAGAACTCACTTTCGGCCTCGTTTCTTTGACCACTCCAACCGTTTTTCCAGAATCGACCGTTGAAATATCGAAATTTTTAGAAATCTTCAAAAATTCGCACTTCGTAACGATTCTTTCGAAAATGTTGCTCCGTGGCCATCAACACGCTATATTTTTGGAATCTGCATGTCCAGATCTACGTCCCTGAATTTTTTCATAATTTTTAGACTACTTTTTAATAGTGAAATTTTTCTAATGGTCCCCCCTTCTTCAAATTTCGGCCAAATTTTGACATTTTCGAAACTCAACTAAACACATTTTCTGGTAGTTTTCGAGCTCGAGAACTCACTTTCGGCCTCGTTTCTTTGACCACTCCAGTCGTTTTTCCAGAATCGACAGTTGGAATATCGAAATTTTTAGAAATCTTCAAAAATTCGCATTTCGTAACGATTCTTTCGAAAATGTTGCTCCGTGACCATCAACACGCTATATTTTTGGAATCAGCATGTCGAGATCTACGTCCCTGAATTTTTTCATAATTTTTAGACTACTTTTTTAAAAGTGAAATTTTTCTTCTTCAAATTTCGGCCAAATTTTGACATTTTCGAAACTCAACTAAACACATTTTCAGGTAGTTTTCGAGCTCTAGAACTCACTTTCGGCCTCGTTTCTTTGACCACTCCAACCGTTTTTCCAGAATCGACAGTCGGAATATCGAAATTTTTAGAAATCTTCAAAAATTCGCATTTCGTAACGATTCTTTCGAAAATGTTGCTCGGTGGCCATCAACACGCTACATTTTTGGAAGCAGCATGTCGAGGTCTACGTCCCTGAATTTTTTCATAATTTTTAGACTACTTTTTTAAAAGTGAAATTTTTCCAATGGTCCCCCCTTCTTCAAATTTCGGCCAAATTTTGACATTTTCGAAACTCAACTAAACACATTTTCTGGTAGTTTTCGAGCTCTAGAACTCACTTTTGGCCTCGTTTCTTTGACCACTCCAACCGTTTTTCCAGAATCCACCGTTGAAATATCGAAATTTTTAGAAATCTTCAAAAATTCGCATTTCGTAACGATTCTTTCGAAAATGTTGCTCCGTGGCCATCAGCACGCTAGATTTTTGGAATCAGCATGTCGAGATCTACGTTCCTGAATTTTTTCATAATTTTTAGACTACTTTTTTAAAAGTGAAATTTTTCCAATGGTCCCCCCTTCTTCAAATTTCGGCCAAATTTTGACATTTTCGAAACTCAACTAAACACATTTTCTGGTAGTTTTCGAGCTCTAGAACTCACTTTCGGCCTCGTTTCTTTGACCACTCCAACCGTTTTTCCAGAATCGACCGTTGAAGTATCGAAATTTTTAGAAATCTTCAAAAATTCGCATTTCGTAACGATTCTTTCGAAAATGTTGCTCCGTGGCCATCAACACGCTATATTTTTGGAATCAGCATGTCGAGATCTACGTCCCTGAATTTTTTCATAATTTTTAGACAACTTTAAAAAGTGAAATTTTTCCAATTCTTAAAATTTTGGCAAAATTTTGACATTTTCGAAACTTAACTAAATGCATTTTCTGGTTGATTTCGGCCTCTAGAACTCACTTTCGGTTTCGTTTCTTTGACAACTCTAACCGTTTTTCCGAAATCGTCCGTTGAAATAAAAAAAAAATGTTTTTAATTTTTCACAGCTTAATTTTTCAACACCCCGGATTCCTCTCCCCAATTAAAATTCCCCTTTCTGTCCTCCACCCAAATATTCTATCAATTCCCCTTGCTACTTCCCTCATTTAATCGAATTACTCATGCTAATTAGTTCATGCACTGTCTCTAACACAATAAAAGTCATTAAACCATTTACCAAATTAATTACTCTCGTATCTGCATAACCCCTATAATTTTTGCTGAAGGAAATCTATAATCTCCCGCTTTAAATTGGTAACCAATAACAATAAATTTCGCCGGAAAACCACCCCGTAATATACATGTTTTCGATTCTACGTTATCTTTTTATCTCCAGCGACCTTTTTTGCTTCACCGGATCGATGTTTCATAAAGTGCATTTTGGAACTAAAACGAAACACTGCTCTAAAGTTAAGAACCGCCGCTGAACGACTTTTCACCAAATTAATAAACGAAAAACAAGCATATACACACATTTGTTTCTTTGGTTTCCTTTGCTGTCTGCGCCACAAATTTTTTCCGTCCACTTAAATTATCCGTTTTGTTTCATCCCTCTAAACAGTTGTTTGTCCTACGGATTCTCCAGCCACTTTCTGGCTTCTGAAATATACGAAATAATAAAAAAACGTATCCTTTAATTTAATTCTTTCTCTTCCCACAAAAAAAAAATCGACAGCTTGATGCAAAATATTCGAAAAATATCTGATTGTTTCCTGTCTACTCAAATTATCGTTTTTTCCACCCTCTGAACAGTTATTCGTTCGACGCACCCCCTAACCACTCTGTATTCTTTGCATAATACGCCGCCGCCGGTTATGAAATTCTCTAAGTGATTACCCCTTGAATACTTTCAACAACACATTAAATATGTACAGAGCGTCGCCGAAAAATGCAATTAATGTCGTTCGCGTTTTTCGCCCCATCGCCGCCCCTCGCAACTGTAAATATTGACATTCCTGCGTAAAACTCGCGCCTCCGATGATAGCGCCAAATTAGAACAAACATAATTGTTTATCATTAATATGGGGATGTTGTGAGTAGGCGCTTCGACAATGGTATCTCTGGTTTGGGGTTTGTTATTATGCGGCGCACCCTGCGGATGCGGCACGACTTCCAGGACTATACCTTTCCTGCTATCAGGAGTCGTCCTCACATCCTTAACATGTCTGCTGGTTTGGGCGCTGGGAACGCTGTCATTTTTGCTCGGAGTTCATGGACAATCCCTGCTGTGTCAACCCCTCCACGATCAGCCTCATTATAAAGCACTGGCAGAAATTCTCGATTCGGGAGGTATTCTGCACAAAGAGGGTGGCGTCTTCAAAGCGTTCCTTAAAGCGAATGACTCCTTGAAAACTGCCGACGTGCTCAAGTAAGCAATTAATGCGGGGATTCGCGCTTTCGCTACACACGGACTGGTTTCCCGCCAGATTCTGGCCACGTGTGACGCTGGAATTGGGGAAACGGGGTCTAGTTGGGGTGTGGAAGTGAAAGTGACGGGTCGTAGTCAAATTTTACCTAAAATATTTTTTTCATTTACGACCTTTCATCTTAGCGCAACACAATTAATAAATCGTTAATCAAAATTTATTTGTTTATCTCCTTCCAAAAATTGATCACGTTATCTCAAAATTTTGCGAATAAATTCTCTTTGAAATATGCAAAATAGTATGACTGTAAGTGCGGTTTATCAATGCACTTATTATAGATTTTAGAATTACTTATACAGGGTGTCTAAAAAATGAGACAATTTTGTGGTATTGATTAAATTCAGGAAGAACTCAATAATTTTTCCCGAAAATTTCAAAATACCGTACTGTTAGCACTAGCAAATTGATATACGTGTCTTTGAAAAATTTCGATGACGTCATTACAAAATTTTGGTACATATTTTTTCCATTCCCTCTATTATTTTTTGAATGTTTCTTTCAATTATATAATTTTTCGTTACTCAATTTCCCAGTTTTAAAATTGTTCAGTTTTGCAATTTTTGGATTTCTCAATTATCCAGTTTTCCTTAATTTTTAATATTTCGATTTTACAATGTCGATTTTTAAGTTTCTCAATTTTTAAATTTTCGAATTTTGAATTTTTGTTTTCTTAATTTTTCGAGTTCTTGATTTCCAATTTTTAGATTTTTTAAAGTTTTCACCTAGTGCTTGTTCGTTTATTCATTTTTGATTTTTCGGTTTTCTAATTTTGCAATATTTCCATTTTTTTGCAAAAAAAAATGCAAATTAACAACTGAAGAAACGAAAAACTGAAACATCGTTAAACTATAATATGTAAAATTGAAAATAGGGGAATTAAAAAATCTAATAATCGAAAAATTGAAAATTCAAAAATTAAAAAAATTTACATTGAAAAAGACAAAAATTGAAAAAATTAAGAAAATAAAAATTGAAACGAAAAATTGAAAAATTCAAAATTCAGAACTCGTGAAACTGCAAATCGAAAAACTGCAAAATGTAAAAAGTGAAACATTCAAAAGTTGGAAAATCGAAAAACTGAAAAAATTAAAAATGGAAAATTCAAAAATTGTAAAAATAAGGAAAATTCAAAAAATTAAAACGAAAATTTGCAATTTGCAATTGAATAATCGAAAAACTGAGAAATGAAGAAATTCCAAAATCGCGATATCGAAAAAAGTGAAAACATTTTAAAAATATTTTTAGAAAAATTGTAAATTAAAAATTGAAGAAACGGAAAACTCAAAAATCATGAAACTGGAAAATGTAAAATTGGAAAAACAAAAAATTGAAAATCGAAAAATTGAAAAATGTAGAAATTCCGAAGTCGTGACATTTAAAACAGTGAAAAAATATTAAAAATTATTGCATATTTAATATGGAACCTCGAAAAATTAAATATAAAAAGTTAAACATCCAAAAGTTTGATAACTGAAAAATTGATAAATTGTAAATTAAAAAACTATATAACGAAAAATTGAAAAAATTGAAATTGAAAAAACAAAAAATTGTATAATCGGAATAATGAAAAATACAGAAAATAAAAATTGAAACGAAAAATAGCAAATCGAAAATTTGAAAAAATGAAAAATGGAAAAATGGAAAAATTCTAATAACGTAACATCGAAAAAATGAAAAATATTTAAAAATATTATCACATATTTGATATGAAAACTAGAAAAATTGCAAAAAAATTGAAGAAATGAAAAATTGAAAAATGCAAAATAGAAAAAACGAAAAATTAAAAAATCGAAATATCGAAAAATTGAAAACCGAAAAATAGCAAATCGAACAATTGGAAAATTGGAGAAACGAAAAATTGAAGAAACGAAACATTGAAAAAACAAAATATCTTAAAATCGAAATATTGAAAAATCGACAAACTGAAAAATTTGAAAATGGGAAATTGAAAAATTATACTTCCAAAAATTGAAAAAACGAAAAACTGAAAAAATTTAAAAAACAAAAAATTATAAAATCGGAATAGTGAAAATCGAAAAATTGTAAAATTAGGAAAATTTAAAAAAATTGAAACGAAAATTTGTAAATCGATTGGAATAAATGAAAAATTGAATAATCGAAAAATTGAAAAATGTAAAAATTCCAAAATCGCAATATTGAAAAGAGTGATAAAATTTTAAAAATATTTTTAGAAAAATTGTAAATTAAAAATTGAAGAAACGGAAAACTCAAAAATCATGAAACTGGAAAATGCAAAATTGAAAAAACAAAAAATTGAAAATCGAAAAATTGAAGAAATGGAAGATGTAGAATCGAAAAATTGAAAAATGTAAATGTAAAAATTCTAAAGTCGCGACATTTAAAAAAGTGAAAAAATATTAAAAATTATTGCATATTTAATATGAAAACTAGAAAAATTAAATATAAAATGTTAAACATCCAAAAGTTAGAAAACTGAAAAATTGAAAAATTTAAAAATGAAAAAACAAAAAATTGTATAATCGGAATAATGAAAAATACAGAAAATAAAAATTGAAACGAACAATAGCAAATTGAAAATTTGAAAAAATGAAAAACTGAAAAATGTAAAAGTGAAAAAACGAAAAATAGCAAATCGAAAAATTGGAAAATTCAAAAGATTTAATAATTTCACCTTAAAAAAAAGAAATTATAAAATAAAAAAAATAAAAAATTGAAAAATTGGAGAAACGAAAAATTAAAGAAACGCAGCATTGAAAAAACAAAAAATCTTAAAATCGAAATATTGAAAAATCGAAAAATTGCAAATCGAAAATTTGAAGAAATGAAATACTCAATAATCGAAAATTTGAAAAACGTAAAAATTCCGAAATCGTAACATTGAAAAAAATGAAAAAAAATCAAAAATATTTTTACATATCTAGAAAAATTGTAAATAAAAAATTAAAGAAACGAAAAACTCAAAAATCATGAAACTGGAAAATTTAAACTTGAATACACGAACAATTAAAAAAATTCGAAGTTGAAAATCCAAAAACTGAAAGCAGAAAAATTGCAAATCGAAAAATTGAAATAACCAAAAACTGAATAATTTCACATTGAAAAAAGAAAATTACAAAATTACGACATTAAAAAAAAAAAGAAAAATAGAAAATATAAAAAAAAATTTTAAACGAAAATTTAAAGAAAGAAAAATTGAGGAATCGAAAAATTGAAAAATGTAAAAATTCTAAAATTATAACATTGACAAAAGTGAATAAATATTAAAAATTATTACATATTTAACATGAAAATAGAAAAATTACAAATCAAAAATTGAAGAAATGAAAAACTCAAAAACTGAAAAATTCAAAATTGAACACTTGTGAAACAGCAAATCGAAAAATTGCAAAATATAAAAAGTGAAACATTCAAATGATGGAAAATTGAAAAACTGAAAAATTTAAAAATGAAAAATGGAAAAACTGCAAATCAAAAACTAAAGAAATGAAAAACTGAAAACCGAAAAATTTAATAATTTTACATTGAAAAATGAGTAATTATAAAATTGGGAGAAAAGCAAAATTGATAAATTAAAACTCCAAAAGTTGAAGAAACGAAACATTGAAAAAACGAAAAATTGAAAACACGAAAAATCTTAAAATCGAAAAATTGTGAAACAAAAAAAAAATTAAAAAACCGAAACGAAGAATTGCAAATCAAAAATTTGAAGAAATTAAAAATTAAAGAATCGAAACATTGAAAAATTTAAAATCGAAATATAACAAAATAAAAAATAAACAACGAAAAACTAGAAAATCTAAAAGTTGAAAAATCTAAATATTGAAAACCGAAAAATTCAAATTATGGAAAAATTGAAAAATCCAAAAATTGAATAAAATCACATTGAAAACAAGAAAACTTATAAAACTAGGAAAAATGAAGAAATGAAAAATTGCAAATCGTAAAACTGAGGAAATGAAAAATTGAAAAAATTTAAATTGATAAAACAAAAAATCTTAAAATCGGAATATTGGAAAATCGAAAAATTGTAAAATAAAAAAAATAAAAAAAAAAACGAAAGGAAAAAATTTTAAAATTTTACACTAAAAAAAGAGAAATTATAAAATTAGGAAAACTGAAAAATTGCAAATCGAAAAATTGAAAAAACAAAACATTGAAGAAATGAAAAATTGAAAAAACAAAAAATCTTAAAATAGAAATGTTGAAAATCGAAAAATTGTAAAACAAAAAAAAAAACCGACACTAAAAATTACAAATCGAAAATCTGCAGAAATGAAAAATTAAAGAATCGAAAAGTTGAAAAATATAAAATCGAAATATAACAAAATAAAATATAAACAAAAAATTCAAGAAACGAAAAACTAGAAAATCCAAAAGTTGAAAAATCGAAATATTGAAAACTAAAAAATTGAAAAATCCAAAAATTGAATAAAATCACATTGCACATGCAAATCGAAAATCTGAAGAAATGAAAAATTGAAGAATCGAAAAATTGAAAAATATAAAATCGAAATATAACAAAATAAAATATAAACAAAAAATTCAAGAAACGAAAAACTAGAAAATCCAAATGTTGAAAAAGCGAAAAATTGAACACCGAAAAATGCAAATCGAAAAATTTCAAAATCCAAAAATTTTAAGATTTTACACTGAAAAAATATAAAATCAGAACATTAAAAAATCTAAAAATTGAAACATCGGTAAGTTGGAAAATCGGAAAACTGAAATATTTAAAAATGAAAACTCTAAGGGATTATTATAAATATATAAAATTCCCAAAATCAAATCCTATAATTTTTACAAAAATCTAAATTTATTTACCTTCGACACATTTTTTGGTATCACAATTTTTATATTTTCATTTTTCTTGCAATTTACAATTTTTTGATATCACAATTTTTTGTTTTTTCGTTTTAAAAACGAAAAACTGAAAAATCGAAAAATTGAGAAATATAAAAGTTGAAAACTTGTGAACCTGCAAATCTGAAAATTGAAAGATCCCAAAGTTGGAAAATAGGAAAACTGAAAAATTTAAAAATGGAACTCGAAAAGTTACATATCTCAAAAAAAATGAAAAATTGAAAAATTGCAAATCAAAAAATTGAAGAAACGAAATTGAAAAAATTTAAATTCAAAAAAACAAAAAAAATAGAAAATGGAGATATTGAAAATTAAAAAAATTGTAAAAATAAAGAAAATAAAATGCAGAAACAAAAAATTTCAAATCGAAAATTTAAGGAAACGAAAAATTAAAGGATAGAAAAACTGAAAAATTAAAAATTTAAAAATTGAAAAGTTGAATAAATCAAAAAGTTTTCAATTCAAATAACTGAAAAATGAGAAAATTTTAAAATCCTAAAATTAAAAAAGTGAACATCTTTAAAATTATTATTAATATTACATATTTAAAACGAAAACTAGAAAAATTGCAAATCAAAAATTGAAGAAACGAAAATTTAAAAAATCTAAAAGTTGAAAAATCGAAAATTCGAAAATTTTTATATTGATGCATTATATAAAATCAGAGCAGTTAATAAAAAAAAATTTAAAAAGTTTTAACTTAAACAAATGAAAAAAATAGGATCAGAACATTGATTAGCCAAAAAAAATTGAAAAAATAAAGAAAACAAAAGACCGAAATGAAAAATTGCAAATTGAAAAACTGAAGACACGGAAAATTGGAAAATCGAAAAAATGAAAACTTGTTGACCTGCAAATTTAAAAATTGAAACATCTTAAGTTGGAAAATCGGAAAACTGAAAAATTTTAAAATGAAAATTCGAAGAGTTACTCATCATAAAATTAAATAAACAAAAAAATGAAAAACTGAAAAATTGTACATCGAAGAAGTGAAAGGACGAAAAATCGAACAAACTGAAATTGAGAACACAAAAAATGATAAACTCGGAACATGGAAAAATCGAACAATTGTAAAAATAAAGAAAATAAAATTCAGAAACAAAAAATTTCAAATAGAAAATTTGAATAAAAATGAAAAATTGAAGAACAGAAAAACTGAAAAATTAAAAATCGAAAAATTTAAAAGTAGAATAAATGAAAAAAATTTAATTCAAATATTTGAAATACGGAAAAATTCTAAAATCGTATAGTTACATATCGTAAAATTGAAGGCATAAGAAGAATGAAGAATTTTAAAAATGCAAATTGAAAAGTTGAAAAAATTTGAATTAAAAAAAAAACAAAAAATTTTAAAAATGAGATATTGAAAAATCGAAAATTTGTAAATATATAGAAAATAAAAAACCGATTCGAAAAATTGCATAAAGAAAAATTTAAAAATCGCAAATCGAAAAACTGAAAAAACAAAATTATATAATAGAAAAATCCAAAAATTAAATAATTGAAAAAATAGAAATTGAAAACTCGAAAAATTGAGAGATCAAAAAGTTGGAAAATAGAAAACGGAAAAATTTTATATCCTGAAAATACACATTTTTCAATCGAATTTTTGCGCTTTCCGTTAACCTAGCTTTAAGTATATAATTTTTGAGAAAGTTTTTCCCTTCAGCGTCCAGTAACAAATCGTACAGTTCAATTAAATTTATTACTGTTTGGTAACAGTTTTGTTATCTGTCAGCATTGGCAACAAATCGGAAACTATGCGGACATCAAATTTCTCTGCGATTTTTTATTCTTTGTTTCAGAACTGTCAAAGTCAGACGAACTTTAAACACACCATCATTACTGTTGTGTATATATTTTTCTACAAACACAAATTTATTTGACTTCGTTCATTTCCACTAAGTTAAATTAAAGCTCTAATTAAATGGATTCGTGCACAAAACGACTTTCAAGTAAACTGCAAACACTTCAGAATCCCAGAAAAGCAAACTTTCCCATTTACCAAACTGCAAAGCATAAAATCAGAACTATTAACAGTCGCAGTGTCATGATTTCAAAAACTTCTCTAAGGTGCAAAGGTCGTAATTTCAATTGACTTTAGTTTTTAAGATTTCTCGCCTTAACCTTTCCAGCAACTGCCAGCTCAACCAGCCCGCCTACTCCACCTTCCACCTCCACAACTTCTTCGACGCCGCCTCCGTGACCAACCACCGCACCTGGCCCGACTTGCAAACCGCCGCCGGCGACTTCGCCATTAGCGAGCCGCCCCTGGAAATCCTCAGTCCTTCGCTGCAATTAAGCCTCCAGTTCCTGGCGACCACGTCGTCGCTCAATTTAACGGAGTACAGGACGAAAATTTCCGGCTCTTTGACGAGAAAAGACCTGAGTTCGTTTGCTGATCAATTAAACACCGTCGCCAGGCAATTAAGTGACCCCAGCAGCTCGAAGAGAATCGACGAGATTGCTTTGACGCTCAGAAAAATTATTCATAATGAAATGGCACGCCTGGCTGATTTGAAGGATCGCATCCTTTATAAAATAACCGCGCTTGATTTACTTATTCATCCTTTGAGCCAGCAGGCAAACCGATCGCTGGCACATTTCAAAGACGTGCAGCTTTTTCTGGATAGCCGCGGCGGAGAGGTCGCTCAAAGGGTAGGTTGGACACGATCGGATTACAGAAATGGAGGTTTTGCTGCGTTTACGACGCGGAGAAAAAAATCTTTGCTTAGTGATGGTGGAAATGGGGCAGACGGAGTGGAAAGCTCGGAGTAAGCGGATCGGTGTGTAGCGGATTTCCATTTCTGGGTGGTCGGTGACTACTGAATTATTTTCGTGAATTAACTTCATTGTGTCTATTTATATTATGTTCTAAAATTTAAAAATAAAAAATTTTAAAATTTTCACATTGAAAAAAAAATGCAATTTGAATAATATTTAATAACAAAAAAAAATTGAAAAAGTAAAGAAAACAAAAACCGAAATGAAAAATTTGCAAATCGAAAAACTGAAGACATGAAAAATTAAAGAATCGAAAAATTGAAAAGTCGAGTAAATGAAAAAGTTTAAATCCAATCACAGAAAAATGGAAAAATTTCTAAAGTCGTAAAACTGAAAAAGTGAAGAATTTTAAAAAATGTTGTTCTTAATTTAAATGAAAACTAGAAAAATTGCAAATCAAAAATTGTACAGGAAAGATTAAAAAAATTTAAAAGTTGAAAAACCGAAAAATGGAAAACCGGAAAATGTAAATCAAAAAATTGCAAAATCCAAGAAGTCAAAATTTTCGTAGACCCGCAAATCTAAAAATCGAAACACCCCTAAGTTGGAAAATCGGAAAACTGAACAATTTTAAATGAAAACTGGAAAACTTGCGTATCGTAGTATTAAAGGAACAAAAAAAAAATTCAAAATTCAAAAATTGCAAATCGACAAATTGTAGAAACAAAAAATTGAAAAAGATTTAAATTCAAAAAAACAAAAAATAAAATTGAGATATTGGAAAATCGAAAAATTGTATAAATAAAGAAAATAAATGCAGAAACAAAAAATTCCAAACCGAAAATTTGAAGAAATAAAAAATTGAAGAATGGATACTTTGAAAAATTGAAAAGTCGAATAAATGAAAAGGTTTTAATTGAAATAACTGAAAATGGGAAAATTCTAAAATCGTAGAATTGAAAAAGTGAAAATTTTAAAAATTATTATTATTATTTTTACATATTTAAAACAAAAAAAATTCACATCAAAAATTGAAGACACGTAAAATTAAAAAATCTAAAAGTTGAAAAATCGAAAATTTGAAAATCGAAAATTTCAAACTGAAAAATTGCACATTATTTAATAAAAATAAAATCAGAACATTGAATAATAAAAAAAATTGAAGAAACGAAAAATTGCAAAAACAAAAAATCTTAAAATCGAAATATTGAAAACGAAACATTGTAAAACTTAAAAAAAAACCGAAACCAAAAATTGCAAAACGAAAATTTGATGAACTGAAAAACTTAAGAATCGAAAAATTGAGAAATTAAAATCGAAATATAACAAAATAAAAAATAAACAAAAAAAAAATGAAGAAGAAAAAGTGAAAATTTTAAAAATTATTATTATTATTTTTACATAATTAAAACAAGAAAAATTTCACATCAAAAATTGAAGACACGTAAAATTAAAAAATCTAAAAGTTGAAAAATCGAAAATTTGAAAATCGAAAATTTCAAACTGAAAAATTGCACATTATTTAATAAAAATAAAATCAGAACATTGAATAATAAAAAAAATTGAAGAAACGAAAAATTGCAAAAACAAAAAATCTTAAAATCGAAATATTGAAAACGAAAAATTGTAAAACTTAAAAGAAACCGAAACCAAAAATTGCAAAACGAAAATTTGATGAAATGAAAAACTTAAGAATCGAAAAATGAAGAAATTAAAATCGAAATATAACAAAATAAAAAATAAACAAAAAAAAATGAAGAAACGAAAAACTAGAAAATTGAAATTGAAAAAACAAAAAATCTCAAAATAGAAATTTAAAAATTGAAACACTGAAAACTGAAAACTGCAAAAATTGAATAATTTCACATTGAAAAAAAGCAAAATTGAAAAATTGCAAATCGAAAAATTGAAGAAACGAAAAATTGAAAAAATTGAAATTGAAAAAACAAAAAATCTCAAAATAGAAATTTTGAAAAATCGAAAAATTGTAAAATAAAAAAACGAAAGGAAAAGTTGCAAATCGAAAATTTAAAGAAATGGAAAAGTGAAGAATCGAAAAATTTAAAATTGGAAATATAAGAAAATTAAAATAATTAAAAAAATTGAACACCGAAAAATGCACATCGAAAAATTGCAAATTCCAAAAATTTAAAAATTTTACACTGAAAAAAATCTAATAATCAGTACATTGAAAAACCGAAAAATTGAAAACCGGAAAATGTAAATCAAAAAATTGCAAAATCCAAGAAATCAAAATTTTCGTAGACCCGCAAATCTAAAAATCGAAACACCCCTAAGTTGGAAGATCGGAAAACTGAAAAATTTTAAATGAAAACTGGAAAACTTGCGTATGGTAGTATTAAAGGAACAAAAAAAATTCAAAATTCAAAAATTGCAAATTGACAAATTGCAGAAACAAAAATTTGAAAAAGATTTAAATTCAAAAAAACAAAAAATAAAATTGAGATATTGGAAAATCGAAAAATTGTATAAAAAAAGAAAATAAATGCAGAAACAAAAAATTCCAAACCGAAAATTTGAAAAAATAAAAAATTGAAGAATGGATACTTTGAAAAATTGAAAAGTCGAATAAATGAAAAGGTTTTAATTGAAATAACTGAAAATGGGAAAATTCTAAAATCGTAGAATTGAAAAAGTGAAAATTTTAAAAATTATTATTATTATTTTTACATATTTAAAACAAAAAAAATCACATCAAAAATTAAAGACACGTAAAATTAAAAAATCTAAAATTTGAAAATTCGAAAATTTGAAAATCGAAAATTTCAAACTAAAAATTGCACATTATTTAATAAAAATAAAATCAGAACATTGAATAATAAAAAAAATTGAAGAAACGAAAAATTGTAAAAACAAAAAATCTTAAAATCGAAATATTGAAAACGAAAAATTGTAAAACTTAAAAAAAACCGAAACCAAAAATTGCAAAACGAAAATTTGATGAAACGAAAAACTGAAGAATCGAAAAATTGAGAAATTTAAAATCGAAATATAACAAAATAAAAAATAAACAAAAAAAATGAAGAAACGAAAAACTAGAAAATCCGAAAGTTGAAAAATTGAAATACTGAAAACTGAAAACTGCAAAAATTGAATAATTTTGCTTTTTTTCAATGTGAAAAAAAAAGCAAAATTATAAAATTAGGAGAAATGAAAAATTGAAAAATTGAAAATCGAAAAATTGAAGAAACGAAAAATTGAAAAAATTGAAATTGAAAAAACAAAAAATCAAAAATCCAAAAGCTGAAAAATCGAAAAATTGAAAACCGTAAAACTGCAAATCGGAAAATTGAAAAATCCAAAAATTGCAAAAATTTAAAAATTTTGCGCTGAAAAAAAAAATCAGAACATTGAAAAACCGAAAAAATGAAAACTCGTGTCCTTGCAAATAAAAAAATTGTGAAATTTAAAAATGAAAACTCCAAGGGATTATTATAAAAAAATAAAATTCCCAAAATCAAATCCTATGATTTTTACAAAATTTTGTATTTATTTATCTTCGACACATTTTTTTGGCATCACAATTTTTCGATTTCCATTTTTCTTGCAATTTACAATTTTTTGATATCACAATTTTCGTTTTTTCGTTTAAAAAAAAATGAAAAAGGTTTAAAAATATTAGGAGTGTTACATATTTAATATGAGAACTAGAAAAATTGCAAATCAAAAATTGAAGAAATGACAAACTGAAAAATCATGAAATTGAAAAAAGGAAAATTGAAAAAACAAAAAATAAAAAATCTAAAAGCTGAAAAATCGAAAAATTGAAAACCGTAAAACTGCAAATCGGAAAATTGAAAAATCCAAAAATTGCAAAATTTGAAAGTAGAAAAACCGAAAATTTCGAAACCGAAAAATGCAAACTGAAAAATTTTAAAATCAAAGGTTTGAAAATTTTAACATTGAAAAAAAATACAATTTGAATATTTAATAACCAAAAAAATTGAAAAAATAAAGAAAACAAAAAACCGAAATGAAAAACTTGCAAATCGAAAAACTGAAGACATGAAAAATTAAAAAATCGAAAAACTGAGAAGTCGAATAAATGAAAAAGTTTAAATCCAATAATAGAAAAATGGAAAAATTCTAAAATTGTAAAAATCAAAAATTGTACAGGAAAAATTTTAAAAATCCAAAAGTTGAAAAACCGAAAAATTGAAAACCGGAAAATGTAAGTCAAAATAGTGCAAAATCCAAGAAATGAAAATTTTCATCGCGAAATAAATAAAATCAGAACGGTGAAAAAACGAAATATTGAAAATTCATAGACCTGCAAATCTAAAAATCTATACACCCGTAATTTGGAAAATCGAGACATTGGAAAAACGAAAAATTGTAAAAATAAAGAACATAAATGCAGAAACAAAAAATTCCAAATCGAAAATTTGAAGAAACGAAAAATTGAAGAAAAAGTTGAAAAATTAAAAATCGAAAAATTGATGTCGAATAAATGAAGAAGTTTAAATTTAAATAAAAATAAAGAAAATCAAATACAGACACAAAGAATTTCAAATCGAAAATTGGAAGAAATGAGAAACTGAAGAATAAAAAAACTGAAAAATTAAAAACCGAAAAATTGAAAAGTCGAATAAGTGAAAAAGTTTTTTCAATTCAAAATTTGAAAATCTGCACATTATTTAAAAAAAAAATAAAACCAGAATATTGAATAATAAAAAAAATACAAAAAGAAAGAAAACAAAAAACCGAAAGGACAAATTTGAAGAAATGAAAAATTAAAGAATCGAAAAATTGAAAAATTAAAAATTGTATACTGGATATATTTTACGTTAAGAAATTGCAAAATCTAAAAATGTAAAATTGCGAAAACGAAAAATCAAAAAATCTAAAAAGAAATTGAAAAACCCAAAAATTGAATAATTTCACATTGAAAAAAAAAATTATAGAATTAGAACATTAAAAAGTCTAAAAATTGTAAAAATTAAGAAAACACAAAACCGAAACTGAAAATTGCAAATCGAAAAATTGAATCAATGAAAAACTGAGAAACCGAAAAATTAAAAATTGAAAACTCATGAAATTGTAAATCGAAAAATTGAAAAATGTAGGAAAGTGAAACATCCAAAAGTTAGAAAATCAAAAAACTGAAAAATTTAAAAATAAAAGTCGAAACGAAAAATTGTAAATCTACAATTTGAAGAAATGGAAAACTGAAGAATCGATAAATTGAAAAATGTAAAAATTCTAAAACTGTAACTTTGGAAAAGTAAAAAAAAATTAAAAGTAAAACTAAAAAAGTTTCAAATCAAAAATTCAGGAAGCGAAAAACTGAAAAATCAGTAAACTGAAAAACAAAAAAATAATAAAACGACTAATTTAAAAATCTAAAAATTTAGAAATCAAAAAATTGAAAACCGAAAAATTACAAATCGAAAAATTGAATAATTTCACATTAAAAAAAAGAAAAATTATAGAATTAGAACATTAAAAAATCGAAAAATTGTAAAAATAAAGAAAATACAAAACCGAAACTAAAAATTGAAAATCGAAAAATTGAAGAAATGAAAAACTGAAAAACCCAAAATTTAAAAATTGAAAACTCCTGAAATTGTATATCGAAAAATTGAATAATGTAAAAAGTGAAACATCCAAAAGTTAGAAACTCAAAAAACTAAAAAATTTAGTTGTAAATCGGAAAACAAAGAATTGAAAAATCGGAATAACGAAAAATCGAAGAATCGTAAAAATAAAGAAAATAAAAAATCGAAACGAAGAATTGCAAATCGAAAATTTGAAGAAATGAAAAATTGAAGAATCGATAAATTGAAAAATGTAAAATTATAAAATTGTGGCATTGAAAAAATGAAAAAAAATAAAAAATATTTCATTAGTCGAAATGTAAACTAAAAAAACTGCAGATCAAAAATTCAGAAAGCCAAAAACTAAAAAATCAGGAAACTGACAAAAATAAAATAGTAAAAACAAAAAAATCTATTAGTTGAAAAATCTAAAAACTGAAAATCGACAAACTGCAAATCGAAAAATTGAAAAATCCAAAAATGAATAGTTTCACATTGAAAAAAAAATAAAAATTACAATTAGAACATTAAAAAATCGTAAAATTGTAAAATTAAAGAAAATACAAAATCGAAACTAAAACCTGCAAATCGATAAATTGAAAAATGTAAAAAGTGAAACATCCAAAAGTTGGAAAATCAAAAAACTGAAAAATTTAAAAATGAAAAATTGAAAAATCAGAAATTTAAAATTTCGCAAATTTAAAAAATCGTCCACCACCAACCAAAAATTGAAAAATCTAGAAATCGAAATATCGAATTATCGAAAAATCAAACAAATAAATCCAAAAGTTGAACAATCAATGATCTGATTAGTCGAAAAATCCCAGAATCCAAACGTAGAAAAATCAAAAAATTGAAAAATCGCAAAACTGAATTTACGAAAAATCGAGAAATCGAAAAACTGAAATACCCAGAAATTGCGAAAGAAGTTGAAACATTGAAGAATTGGAAAATAAAAAAATTGAGAAATTGAAAAAACCGAAATTTTCAAAAATCGAAAAACTGAAAAAATGTAAAATAAAAAAATCGAAAACTAGAAAAATTAAAAATCGAAGAACTGAGAATTGGAAAAACTGAAAAATCGATAAATCGAAACATCAAAAAATGTAAAGCAACCGAAAACTTGTGAAATCGAAACATAAAAAGTCGACAAATCGAAGTCGAAAAATTGAAAACCGAAAAATTGAAAAATTCCAAATATAAAAAATTTCACATTGAAAAAAAGAAAAATTTAAATTTGGACATTAAAAAACAAAAAACTTGAAAAATTTTAGTTTTTTGTTCTTTATATTTTTTCCCTCTCGAACAAAATAATAGGCAGCTTTTTGTCTAAAAAACCGCAGAAAAATATCTGATTGTTTAAAATGCAAAAAATAGATATTACTTACGATGTATTGTAAAACGGCTACTTTCATGTCTTCTAAAAGTTTCAAATCAAATCGAAAACGTGACCTGACCTGACCTGATTTGACCTGACGTGACCTGATCTGACCTGACTTGACCTATTCTTCCTCTCTATTGTCTCAATTAAACTTTAAACATTTCTGTGATTCTTAAAACAATTGTATTTTGTGGAAGAAAAGTTAATAATAAATTCTTTTTTTATCTACAAAAATTTCATACCGGACTATTTTCAAGAGTCATGGGTTCGAATTCAGGGGCGAGGGAAGATCTGTCTAATAATATGAGACCGAAGGGCAAATACTTAATTAAAATTAAATACATCTGTAATATCATCGATAAACAAAATGAAAAACCCCAGACGCAGAGCAGAACCCTGACATACTCCAAAGGGTTATTTTGCTGTCACATTACGTTTACTTACTAAACTTGAAAAAATAAATACAAATTATTTCAACGACTGTCGAAAAAATACAACGTGTTAAAAATTTCATCATACTGAACTCATAAAATGTGTAATAAGAGATCGAATTAACACGCCTTTGAAAAGCACATTTTAAATAGGTGACTGACAGATTTTAATTAATTTTCATTGAACTGAAAACAGATTAAAAGTAAATTTTTAAAAGCTTTACGGGATACACACGTCTTTCATTTTGAATATGGATGAAAGATTTAAATTTTATCAATGTGTATTAACAAAAAATGTCTTCAGTTTTTTATATCTTGCGTTTTAGTATCAAATAACGCCATCACGAATTTTCTGCTGTTTCAACAATCAATTGAGCACAAAGAACGTATCGGCGGGAATTTCACTGTAATCAGTTTTCTATTAGGGCTTTATTAAACGACTGACCAAACAACAACAAAACAAATTAGTTTATTGCAATTATGTTACATATATGTAGTTACAATGTAATTTCCAATCATATGAACATTTAATATTAATCTCCAAATATGACTGTTTTTTTCTTTGTTTTTTTTTTCTGCGCTTTCAGCACAACTCGAAATCTTCAACTTCAAAAGCGTAAATAAAAAAAACAATAAATAAAAGAAGCAAAACTTTATAGCAGCTGGTAATTTCACTGGCATGTCTTTGAAATTGAATTGCGAAACATTCCAACACAAGGCACATGAGCATCTGGTTTCACTTTTTACTTTTGTTTATCCTTTAAGGTTTCGGCTCGCTTTATGTCTCGTCTGGAAACTTACCTGGGAGACCTTCACAGACACATAACAACCAAAGTGACAAAGGAAATAGGAGGCTGCAAACCACTCTGGGACATTTTCCGGCTGGCGCGTTTCTTCACTTGCAAACTAATAGTGGATCCAACTGTAAGCAACACATGATGTCTGAACACCATCTAATCGACCCCTTCACAGACCGCCATTTCAGCATCGAGCTTTATACTAACCTTACTGTTTCTGGGTGTCGTCATTGTCGTATTGAATTTAGTGGAACATTACCGGGAGCTTAATGAAGAACTATTAACCTCCATAACACATAGGTGGGCCATTACTTCAATTACAACCCTCCAGGTTGACACTAACTACCCAGAAAACCGTGCCCCGTCATAATTCTTTTATTAAATACGTATTAATTGGCAGGCGCGCCAGAGACGGACTCATAATAGACGACGAAGGCACTTGGGCGTCCCCATCGTTAGAGTAAGAACTTCATTTAATTCCATTTAATTCGAAAATTTAATTTAAAACGAATCAGTAGAAGGGCTAGAGTGGTGAATTATATTCGCTAAAGAGAATAGGGAAGGCAACACCCGTCGGCTTTTGCTCCCGATGTTAACATGAATTATGTTCCTCTTTAAGCTGAAAAGGTTTTAAAACATTGTTGTGGTTTTACAGAACACCACCAGATGTTGAAATGAGGAATAATGGGCAAGGGGAGCAGGCGACGTGGGTCTCCCCTAATTCCAGGTCGGGGTATTTTTATTAGCACTTTCGGGGGAGCAACTAGTCGGTTATTGTTTACAGGCAGAGCGTCGAGCTCTTGATTCCGCCACCCCCCAGGTAAGTGCGCACTTAAAAAAACGAAATATGAGGGTGCGGTTTTTTGTAGAGCGCTTCAGGGTCCGTCCAGGTCTCGGTCTCCCAAAAGGTAAAAACAGATTCGGATAGTTCTACAAACTGGATTAACAAACCCGATACGAACTCTGTTTATGTTATGAATTTACATATCTCAACGAGCGGATTATTGCAACATGCACCGTGTGTGCGAGACGTTCTCGTCAAATTCAATATTGCATTTCCCGGGACAAAGTCACCTTGATTACGGATTCTATGAGCACACAACGACGATGATTAGCTCAATATTAAACAAAACAGACTTAGACGGGCTACAAAAAGACATCACTCGAAAACCATATACACGCACTGCAAGAACAAAGCATTTCACGCAAATATATGGTGTTCCCAGGCCGGAAATAATTGCTTTGCACAGTTCACATCCACTGGAAAATTCGGGCGAAATTAGTCGCTGGAACTAAAACGAGCGGGTGCCGCGGGATATGATATGTTTATAAAAATTGGTGTTAAATTGTTTCGATTGAGCTAGCCTCGGCTCTGTAGCACGTGTAATAACTAGTAAAACAAGTTCAGTTTCTCAGATAAACCATGAAATTTAATTGAGTAAATTTGATTTTTTGTTAATACAGTTTCTATAAACTATTTAGTAGAAAAAACAGACAAAGGGTGTCCAAAATTCCTTCAAACTCTTCAAAAACAAAACACAAGAGGTTCACAAGATGATTTCATTTCTTGTTTAAAAAAAATGCCGGAGTTTCCACGATTCGAGGATATTTTGGAAAAAGAAAATACCAAGAGCCTTCAATATTCTTGCAAATTAAAAAAGACACCAGATGCTTTCATATTAAAAAAAAATTACAGAAGACTTACTTAAAAAAGACACCAGTTCCCCCCAAGATTCATTCATATTCTCAAAAAAAAGATGCAAAGACGCCAGGCGTCTCAAAAATTTTTTTATTTTTGAAAAAGACAGGGGCCACCAAGACATATTTAAAAAAACACGCAAGGGTCCCCTAAAATATGTTCATTGTCTTAAAAAAGACACCAAGAGCCTCCAAGTTTCTTGCTTATTCTTTAAAAAGCAAAAAACCATGGTGGCCCAAAATTTTTCCCAATTTTTAAAAAACACAAGGGATCGTCAAGATTCTTTCAAATTCTCAAAAAAATGCCAGGCGTCTCCAAGATTCTTTAATATCGCTTGAAAAAAGGACACTGATGGCCACCAAGATTCATTATTCGTATTCTGTACAAAAAAGACGCAAGGTCTCTCAAGAGTCTGTCATAATCTTAAAAACAGACACCAGAGGCTCTCAAGGTTCTTTCATATTCTTAAAAAAAGAAAAGAGCTTCAAAAATTTGTTATAATCTTTCAAAAACACAGCAAGGGCTTCCATGTTTCTCTCATATGCTTAGCAAAAAAAACAACAGGAGTCCCAAAATTCTTCAATGTTCTTAAATGAAAGAAAAAAAACAGGGCTTCCCAAGACTTTCCTATTCTTTAAAAAAGACTCCAGAGGTCTCAAAGTTTTTTTCATATTCGAAAAAAAGACACCAGGGACTTCCAAAGTTATATATTCTTTCATATTCTTTAAAAAAAAAGCCTTGATCCCCCAGATTTCTCCACAATCAGTCATTTAAAAAGCCCAAGGATTACCGAGATCATTTTGCTCGTCAAAAAGAAGACCAAGGGCTTTCAGGATTCTTTGATACTATTAAAATAAAGCACCAGGGCTTCACAAGAGTTTCATATTTTCAGAGAAAAAGGTACCAGGCGTCCCCAAGTTTCTTTCATATTCTTGAATAAAGATCCTTTCTATTCTGTAAAAAAATACGCAAGGTCTCCCAAGATTCGGTCATAATCTTAAAAACAGACACCAAAGGCTCCCAAGGTTCTTTCATATTCTTAAAACCAAGATACCAGGGACTTCCAAGGCTCTCCCACATTCTTAAAAAAAGGCACCTGAGACTCTCTAAGTTGTTTCATATTAAAAAAAGACACCAAAAGCCTCTAAGATTCTTTCATACTCTTTGTCTTGACTTCCCCAAGACTTTTTAAAAAGACGCTAAAATTCTTCAATTTTTTAATTTTAAAAAAATTCTTTTAAAAAAGACTCATATTTTTTTAAGAAAAACGCCAACCCTGTAAACTTCTTTCATATTCCCTTAAAAAAGATACCAAGAGCCTCTAAGACTCTTTAATACTCTTTAAAAAAGCACACTAAGGCTTCCCGAGATCTTTATAATCTTTAAAAAAGACACCAGGGGTTTCAAGATTCTGTCATATTCTTGGCAAAAAGATAGCAGGGGCCCTGAAAAGAAAGACACCAGGCCTCCTAAGGCTCTTTCCTATTCTTTAAAAAAGACACAAGTCCCTCAAGATTCTTTCACACTCTTTCAAAAAAAACTCAATGAACTCTTAGATCCTTTCATATTCTTCAGAAAGAGACTCCAAGGGGTTGCAGAAGGATCTCTCGTATTCCATAAAAAAACACCAGAATTTCTCAACATTAAAAAAGACCCCAGGGACACTCAAGTTTTTATCATATTTTTGAAAAAAAGACACCAAGAGCTTCCAAACTTCTTTCATATTTCTGTAAAAAAGGCAAAAAGATTCTTTCATACTTTTTAAGAAAATGCACCAAATCTTCTCAAGAATTTGTTATAATCTATAGAAAGACACCAAAGGCTTTCAAATTTCTCACATATTTTTAACAAAAAACCCATGGGCCTCAAAATTCTTCGACTTTCGACATTTTCAAAATATGACATCTGTCCTCCAAAATTCCTTTCTAGATTCTTTCAAAAAAAACACCCAGGTCTTCCAAGTCTCTTTCATATTCTTTAAAAAAAGACTCCAGGGGGTTTTAGGCTTCTCTCCTATTCCGCAAAAAGACACCAGGACTTCCCAAAATTCTTTCATATTTTTTGAAAAAAAATACTAAGGCTGCAAACTTTCTTCATATTGCTTAAAAAGAGACTCCAAGGGGTTCAAAAAGTTTCTTTATTTTTCTGGGCTTCCCAAATTTAAAAAAGGCCCAAGGGACACCCAAAGTTTTCTGATATTTTTTGAAAAAATTGGAGCGTTCCAACTTCTTTCATATTTCTGTAAAAAATACAAGAAAAATCTTTCATACTCTTTCAGGAAATACAACAATTCTCCCCAAGAATCTTTCAGATTCTTAAAAAAAAGCCAAAAAAGGCCTTAAATTTTTTATTATCTTTAAAAAAGACACCAAGGCATTCCAAGTTTCTCTCGTATTCTTTAAAAAGAGATTCCAGGGAGTTCCAAGGTTTTTCCAATTGTGTAAAAAGACACCAAGGCTTACCAAAATTCTTTATTTAAAAAAAACACCAAGCCTGCAAAATTCCTTCATATTTAAAAAAAAAAACACCAAGAGGCTCTAAGATTCTTTCATACTCTTTAAAAAGGTGCACCAAGGCTCCCCAAGGTTTTTATATTCTTTAAAAAAAGCCACCAAGGGCTTCCAAAATTCTCTCATAATTATAGCAAAAAGGTGGCAGGGGCCCTAAAAAAGATACTAGACTTCCTGAAGGTCTTTCCTAGTCTTTAGAAAAGACACAAATCCCTCAAGATTCTTTCAGATTCTTTCAAAAAGACACCAATAACCTTTAAGATTCTTTCATACTCTTTAAAAAGACACTCCAAGGAGTTCCAAAAGGTTTTTTCCTGTTCTGCAAAAAGACACCAGGGCTTCCCAACATTCAAAAAGGTCCCAGGTACACCCAAGGTTTTTTCGTATTTTTTGAAAAAAAGACATCAAGAGCATCCAAACTTCTTTGATATTTCTGTTAAAAAGAGAAGATTCTTTCGTACTCTTTAAGAAAATGTACCAGGTCTTGTCAAGAATCTTTCAGATTCTTAAGAAAAGGCAAAAAAGGCTAATTTTTTTTTTATAATCTTTAAAAAAGACACCAAGTGCCCAAAATTCTTCGATTTTTCTTAAAAAAAAGAGATCACGGTACTTTAAAAGTTCTTCCACACTCTTTAAAAAGAAAGACACTAGGACTTCCCAAGCCTCTTTCTAAACTTTAAAAACGACATCAGTCCTCCAAAATTCCATTTTACATTATTTCAAAAAAGACACCAAGTTCTTCCGAGTTTCTTTTCTATTCTTTAAAAAAAAGACTCCAGGGGGTTCTAAGGTTCGTTCCAATTCCCCAAAAAGGCAGCAAGGCTTCTCAGAATTCACCAAGAACCTCTAAGATATTCTTAAATACTCTTTAAAAAAATACACCAAGGCTCCCAAAGATTTTTATAATCTTTAAAAAACACATCAGAAGCTTCCAAGATTTTCTCATATTCTTAGCAAAAATATAGCAGGGGTACTGAAAAGGAAGACACCAGGGCTTCCTAAGGCTCTTTTCTATTCTTCAAAAGAGACACAAGTCCCTCAAAATTCTTTGAGATTCTTTCAAAGAGACAAGAACTTCTAAAATTCTTTGATATTCCTTAAAAAGAGACTCCAAGGTTTCCAAAAGGCTCTTTCCTATTCTGTACAAAGACACCAGGGCTTCCCAGGATTAAAAAAGGCCACAGGGACACCAAAAGTTTTTTCGTATTTTTGAAAGAAGGACACCAAGAGCGTTTAAATTTCTTTCATTTTTCTGTAAAAAAAACAAGAATATTCTTTTACGAAAACACACAAGATCGCCCCAAGAATCTTTCAGATTCTTAAAAAAAATCAAAAGTGCTCTCAAAATTTTTTAGAATCTTTATAAAAGACACCAAGAGCTCCCAATTTCTTTCGTATTCTTAACAAAAACCCACGTGCCCCAAAATTCTTCCATTTTTCCTAAAAAAAAAGAGATCACGGTCCTTTAAGATCCTTCCACACTCTTTAAAAAGAAAGACCACAAGGCTTGCTAAGCCCCTTTCTAAACTTTAAAAAAGACATCAGTCCTCCAAAATTCTTTTTTAGATTCTTTCAAAAAAGATACCTAGGTCTTCCAAGATTCTTTCATGTTCTTTAAAAAAGACTCCAGGGGGTTCCAAGGTTATTTTATATTCTGCAAAAAACACCAGAACTTCCCAAAATTCTTTCGTATTTTTTGAAAAAAAAAACACTAAGCCTATAAACTTTCTTCATTTACCTTCAAAACATACACCAAGAGCCTATAAGATTCTTTCATACTCTTTAAAAAAAGACTCCAAGGGGTTCCAAAAGGTTCTTTCCTATTCTGCAAAAAGACACCAGGACTCTCCAACATTAAAAAACGCCCTAGGGACACCCCAGGTTTTCTTGTATTTTTTGAAAAAAAAGACACTAGAAGCGTCCAAACTTCTTTCATACTTCTGTAAAAAAGACAAGAAAAATCTTTCATACTCTTTAGGAAAATACAGCAGGTCTCCCCAAGAATTTTTCAGATTCTTAAAAAAAGGCAAAAGAGCGATCAAAACTTTTTATAATCTTTAAAATAAACATCAAACTCTTAGAAACTTCTCTCATATTCTTAACAAAAACCCATGGACCCAAAAATTTTTCCATTTTTCTTTAGAAAAAGAAATCATGGTCATTTAATGTGTTTCCATACTTTTTAAAAAGAAAGACACTTCCCAAACCTGTTTCAAAACTTTACAAGATGTCTTCCAAAATTCTTTTTTAGATTCTTTCAAAAAAGACACCAATAGCTCCCAAGTTTTTTTAGTTTAAAAAAGCTACCACCTCTCCCCGAGGTGGTTTCCTATTCTTTAAAAAGACACCAGGGCTTCCTAAGATTCTTTCCTATTCTGCAAAAAAAACACCAAGACTTTCCAAAATTTTTTCATATTCATTTAAAGAAGACTTCAGGTATTTCCAAGATTCTTTCAAATTCCTAAAGAGGGCCTCAAAATTCTTCCATTTTATGAAAAAAAAGTCACCAGGGCTTTCCAAGATTCTTTCATATTCTTTAAAAAAAGACTTCAGATGCTTTCAAGGTTCTTTCATTTAAAAAAAAAGGTCATCAAGAGTACCCAAACTTCATTAATATTCCTCAAAAAAGACACGAAGTGCCTCCGAGATTCTGTTATGCTCTTTAAAACAAAACACCAGGTCTTCCCAAGATCCTGTCAGGTTCTTAAAGAAAGAAAAAAGGGCCCCCAAAATTTTCTATAATCTTTTGAAAAGAAAAAGTTCTCTCATATTTTTAGCAAAAAGACACTAGGAACCCCAAAATTCTTCCATTTTCTTAAAAAAAAAAGAAACAAACCACTAAGCTTCTTTCATACTCTTTAAAAATAAAGACAAAAGGGCTTCCCAAGACTCTTTCTAAATTTTAAAATTGTCATATTCTTATAAAAAAAAAAAACAAAAACTCCCAAGCTTGTTTCGTATTCTTTAAAAAAGACACCATGGCTCCCCAAGGTTGTTTCCTATTCTTTAAAAAGACACCAGGGTTTTCTAAAATTCTTTCATATTTTCTAAAAAGATTCCAAGGGGTTCCAAGTTTTTTTCCTATTTTGCAGAAAGACACCAAAACTTTCCAAATTTTTTCCATATTCTTTAAAAAAAAGACTTCAGGTCTTTGCAAGATTCTTTCATATCTTTTTTTAAATACACCAGGGCTCCCAAGATTCTTTCACATTCCTAAAAGGGACCCCAAAATTCTTTCATTTTATTAAAAAAAAACACCAGGGCTTCCCAGATTCTTTCATATTCTTTAGAAAAAGACTCCTAGTGCTGCCAAGGTTCTTTCATTTTCTTAAAAAAGCACCTGGAACTCCCAGGGTTCTTTCATATTTTTTGAAAAAAAGACATCAAACGCCTCCAAACTTCTTCAATATTCTTTGAAAAAGACACCAAGTGCCTCTAGGATTCTGTTGTACTCTTTAAAACAATACACTAGGTTTTCCCAAGATTTTTTTCAAATTCTTAAAGGAAGAAGAAAAGGCCCCCAAAATTTTCTATAATCTTTAAAAAAGAAAAAGTTCTCTCATATTCTTATCAAAAGGCACGACCCTAAAAATTCGTCCATTCTCTTAGAAAAAAAAACACGAATCTTCAAGGTTCTTTCATACTCTTTAAAAAGAAAGACACCAGGGCTTCCCAAGCCTCTTTCTAAACTTGAAAGTATTTCTAAAGTCTTTTTTAGATTCTTTCAAAAAAGACACCAAGGTCTCCCAAGTTTCTTTCATATTCTTTAAAAAGAAACACCAAAAACTCCCAAGCTTTTTTCGTATTCTTTAAAGAAGACACCATGGCTCCTCAAGGTTGTTTCCTATTCTTTAAAAAGACACCAGGGCTTTCCAAGATTCTTTCATATTTTCTAAAAAAGACTCCAAGGAGTTCCAAGGTTGTTTCCTACTTTGCAAAAAGACACCAAAACTGTCCAAATTTTTTCCGTATTCTTTAAAAAAAGATTTCAGGTTTTTCCAAAATTGTTTCAGTTATTTTTTATACACCAGGGCTCCCAAGATTCTTTCAAATTCCTAAAAGAAGCCCCAAAATGCTTTCATTTTATGAAAAAAAGACACCAGGGATTCCCTGATGCTTTCATATTCTTTATAAAAAGACTCCAAGGGCTGCCAAGGTTTTTTCATCTCCTTAAAAAAACACCTGGAACTCCTAGGGTTCTTTCACATTTTTTGAAAAAAGACATCAAGAGCCTCCAAACTTCTTTAATATTCTCTGAAAAAGACACCAAGTGCCTGTAAGATTTTGTTGTAGTCTTTAAAACAATACACTAGCTCTTGCCAAGATTTTTTAAAATTCTTAAAGAAAGAAAAAAAAGCCCTCAAAATTTTCTATAATCTTAAAAAAAAATCTTGTCTCATATTCTTATCAAAATTCTTCCATTTTCTTAGAAAAAAAAACACGAATCTTCAAAGTTCTTCCATATTCTTTAAAAAGAAAGACATTAGGACTACCCAAACTCTTTCTAAATAAAAAAAGGCATCAGTCCTCCTAAATTCTGTTTTAGATTCTTTAAAAAAAGACACCAAAAACTCTCAAGCTTTTTTCGTGTTCTTTAAAAAAGACACCACGGCTTCCCAAGGTTGTTTCCTATTCTTTAAAAAGACACGAGATTCTTTCAAGTTCTGTAAAAAGACACCAGGACTTTCCAAAATTTTTTCATATTCTTCAACAAAAATATCAGGAATTTCCAAGATTCTTTCAAAATCCTAAAAAGACCCCAACATTCCTCCATTTTATCAAAAAAAAAGACACCAGGGCTTCCTAAGAGTATTTCATATTCTTTAAAAAAAGACTCCAGATGGTTTTTATGGTCTTTCATGTTCTTGAAAAAGACACCAGGAACCAGATTCTTCAGAATTTAAGATTCTTTTAGGTTGTTTAAAACAGAAAAAGTTCTCCCATATTCTTAATAAAAAGACAGGAACCCCAAAATTCTTCCATTTTCTTAAAAAAAAAAACAGACCACGAATTTTCAAGATTCTTCCATACTCTTTGAAAACAAAGACACCAGAGCTTCCTATGTTCTCTATAAGAGGCCCCCCAATGTCTCTAAAATTATTAAAAAAATAAACTAGGGGCCTCAAAATGTTTTAATATTCTTTAAAATAATACACCAGAACCCCCGATTTTTTGTAATCTCAGGCAAAAAAAAAAACACCAGGTTCTGTCTTCTTTAAAGAACATGCAGGCTCTCTAAGATCCTTTTACACATTTAATCAAAAATCATCAAGTATCTCCAAAATTATTTTATATTTTTTAAATAGAAGACACCGAGAGCCTTTAAAATTTCTTCATAATCATAAAAAAAAAGATACCAGCTTTAATATTTTTTATAAAAGTTGAGTTTTTGGTCCAATAAAAATCAGGTAAACGTACAGACACCACAATACTACAAAAATTTCCCACCGAAGCCACAACACGAAAATATCAGCTTTAAAACCGGGCCAAATGTTAACCGAGTTAAAATTACGACTCACTCAAACAGAACAACAACACTGAGCAAATTATCAAAAAGCGGAATCAACAAAGTTTAATAAAAATTCCTGGACGCTCACCCGAATTCGAACACGCCAGCAAGCAATCGAGAAAGGAGTGCTCTTGAAAAAAATCATGTCCAATAACAATAATTACAGTTTTAATAATTTCTCCTTTAATTAAGCAAATAGAGCGCCAGCGGCTAAAGTTGCATTTCCTAATTGGTGACACATGAAGAAACAAGGTGAATTAATTTGTCTAGTTTACCGAGCTCTGAAGGTGTTAATTTTTTTTTTATTTTGTTCCAGCTTTGAGAATCCTTCACACTTTTTTACCTGTTTGTGTTGCTTCTGCTGAGCCTTCACTTTCTAAATTAAAATAAAAAACGACCTTAGAATTGGATCGACTGTCTAATTTAGGAATTCTTTCAAACGACGCATCCTCTCAATTGATTTTTCCGAGATAACACGAAAGTTAGCCGCTATAAAAGCCAGCAAACAGAATTTTAAACTTCAGTTTTATTGACAATATAGTCAATATATGACATCTATTATTAAATGTAGAGCATCGGAACGCATACAATTGTAACGACATAATAAATTGACAATTTTTGTATAACCGTAGACTTTGTCAAAAAACCGCATTCCACATCGTCCTTCGCCATTTGCAACACATGCACTTTTCCGCTTACGATAAATGAATAAATCACGCGTTTTATTATTCCCAAACTTGCAAACCGTCCCATGTACGAGAAAGCCGACATTGTTTCGATACCGATCTCGGGCCATAAATTTGCACTTACACGCTTACGTAACTCGTGCATTTTTCTTTGACAGGCTTTCTACAATAGCGTCAAGGATATCGGCTGCTAGGTGAGCTGTACAATTCGATTCTTCAAATTAGCGAAAATCATTTGCAGAGTGCCGCAGATTCCCTCCGTATCGAGAGCAAGGTCTCCAAAAAGGTGATCCGTGGTCACTTTGTGACACCAATAACGGTGGTTCGTTTCCAGGGGCCGCCATGAATCACTCCGCCTGATCGAACCGATCTGCTGGAAATCGGGGTAATGATCTCTGGGAGTCTTTCAGAGTTTACGCAAAGCTGCCCAACTTCGAACGAGTTTGTTAATGCATTGTGGTTGCAGGTCGCTTTCTCCGAGGAGTTGGCTGTAGGAGGGAGAATTTTTCGCCAGTCGATTCATATTAAAATATTAGATCGGAGATTTCGTAATAATTAAATAATTGCTAGAACCCACCTCTAGAGTCTGTCTGGGTTTACTTGACTTGAGTTGCGAAATGGCTTAATTATAACCCCTGGTTTTCGGTTATTTTGTTTCACAGTGGCTCGAATGTGAGTTTCAACACGAATTCCGAAGCGCTAAAAAAGGAGGGCTACATGTGGATGGGTCGTTGTTTCCAATCTCCGATGGGGAAACCTTGAAGTTTGATGACATTTATTTTTTAGTTTAAAAATAACCTTAAAGACCCAAACTTATAAATGGCAAAGATTTAAATCTGCAATAAATTAATTTTTCAAAATTTTATAGTTCATCCGCGTGTGATTGTATAAATCACCGGGTTTCATCATTTATTAATTAGTTTGTCGATGTGTGGATTTATTTTTTAAGTTTGCTACTGTAGTATTATAATCATGTAATAAAATGATGCAAATGATATTTACCACTTGTGAAACGTGTTGAAATAGGAGCTTAATCGATTATGTTATGTCGTTGTTAACCAAAATTAAATTGTAGGAAAAGTAGTTTCAGTAGAGCTAGAAATTGACCGAAGACGCATGTAGAAAATTTCAATATAAATTCAAAAGGTGTTTTCTTCCTTATTTATTATTAGTAAAAACACATCAAGGGTCCTCAGAATTTTTGTATTCTATTAAAAAAATTGATCCAATGTTGTTTTGACCTTGTTCCACTTATTTTTATGAAAAGCCGAAAATCCGAAACTTCAAAAACTTTTAAAAATCGAAAAATTGGAAAATCCAGAAACTGAAAAATTACCAAAATTAAAATTTCGCTACATTGAGATCTCGAAAACTTGAAAAATTTTAAAAGTGGAAAAACCGAAATGTCGAGAACTCGGAAAATCGGAAATTTGTCAAATTATAAAATCAAAATATGTAAAATTTAAAAATTGAAAATCAAAAAAACGAGAATTCGAAAAATCTAAAATTGAAAAAATCGAAAAATTGAGAAATCGAAAAGTCGAATAATCGAAAAATTGGAACATCGAAAAATCGAAACATGAAAACATCGAGAAATCGGGAAATCGAGATATCCCAAAAAATTGATAAATCAATGGAAAAATTGGTAAATCAAAATATTGAAAAATCGCGACTACGGCAATTCAAAAAATTTTGCAAGTGGGAAAACCGAGTTGTCTAGAAATCGGATCGAGAAATCGGAAAGACGGAAAACGTCAAATTTAAATAATCAAAAAATCGAAACCTTGAAATCTGGAAATTCCTAAAATCTAAAATCGAAGAACAGAAAAGTGGAAAAATCAAAAAATTGACGAATGGAAATATTGGATAAAACATTTGATAACTGAAATACAGAAAAATCGAAAATCTAAAAAACCAGAAAAATGAAACATCGAAAGCCTGAAAAATAGAAAAATAAAAAAGCGAAAATTGAAGAATTGAAAAACTGAAAAATCGAGAAATCGAAGCATAAAAGTCGAAAAATCGGAAAATGGAAAACTTGGAAACGCCAAAAGTTGAAAATTGGAAAAATGGAAAAATCTAAAATTCGAAATATTGAAAAATCCAGAAACTGAAAATTTCCCAAAATTGAAGAATAGGAAAATGGGAAATTCGACAAATTGTAAACTCGAAATATGTAAAATTTAAAACTTGAAAATCAAAAAAACGAGAAATCAAAAAATCGGGAAATCGAAAATTAGAAAAATCGAAATGGAAACATCGAACACTGGAAAATCCAAAAATCTAAAAAAAATTTAAAAATCGGAATATCAAACATTTTAAAAATCGAACAATTGTTGAAAAATCAAAAGGTCAAAAAATCGAAACAACGAAAAAATTGAAAAAACCAGGAAGTTCAAAAAATTCAAAAAATGAACAATTGAAAACCTGGAAAATAGAAAAATAAAAAAGCGAAAGATTGAAGAATAGAAAAACGAAAAAATCGAAAAATCGAAACATCGAAGAGTCAAAAATCGGGAAATCGATTAATCAAGAAATCGAGAATTTGAACAATCAACAAATCGAAAATTTAGAAACTCCAAAAATTGAAAACTTGGAAAATGGAAAAATCTAAAAATCGAAAAATTGCAAAATTGAATCTAAAATTGAAAATTCGAAAAACTGAAAAATCCAGAAAGTGAAAATTTCGCAGAATTGAAGAATTATCGAGAAATCCGAACATGGGAAATTCGACAAATTGTAAATTTGAAATATGTAAAATTTAAAAGTTGAAAATTAGAAAAACGAGAAATCGAAAAATTGAGAAATTGAGAATTCGAAAAACTCAAAATTTAAAAACTCGAAAGTGAAAAATCGAAACATCAAAAAACTCGAAAATCCAAAAATCTAAAATCAAAAAATTGGGAAATGAAATAATTGAAAATGTGAAACATCGAAAAATTGAAACATGAAAAGGTCGAGAAGCCCTGAAATCGAAATAGCCGAAACGAAAAATTAAAAATAGAAATTTTGAAAAATATAAAATCCAAAAGATCAATAAACCGAAAAATTGAAAAATCAAAAAATCAGGAAATTGAACAATTGAAAAATCTAACATAGAAAATTCGATTAAGCAAAAAATCAAAAAATTGAAGAATCTAAAAACTGAAAATTCGAAATTTGAAAAATCCAGAAACTGAGAGTTTCCCAGAATTGAAAATTGAGATGTCGAGAAATCGAAAAGTGAGAAATTTGGCAAATTCAAAATTCGAAATATGTAAAATTTAAGAATTGAAAAATCGAAAAAATGGGAAATTGAGCAATCGAAAAATTGAAAAATTGAATAATCGGAAAATCAAAAAATTGAGAAAAACTGAAAAATCTAAAACCGATAAGTGGAAAAATCAAAAGATCAAGAAATCGAACATCAAAAAATTGAAAAAACCAAAAATTAAAAAATTCAAAAAATCGAAAAATTGAAAACTCAGAAATAGAGAAATCAAAAAATCTAAAATTTAAAATATCGAGCAATTGAAGAATCAACAAACTGAAAAATCGGGGAAACGAAAAATCGAAAAATTGATAAATCTAAAAATCGCAAAATTGAAACCTCCTAAAGTGAAACATCGAAAGATTAAGATAAGAAATCAAAAAACTGAAAAATCGCGAAATCGGAAAGTCGAAAAATTTTTTAAATGGAAAAACCGAGGCGTCGAAAAATTGGAAATACGGGAAACCTGAATTTAAAAAAAAACAAAAAATCGAAAAGTCAAATAATTGAAAAATTGAAGCATAGAAAAATTGAAACGTGAAATTGAACCAACGAAAAATCTTGAAAAATCGATAAATCAAAAATTTTTTAAATCGAATAATTCCAAAACTGGAAAATCTAAAACCGAAAAGTCGAAAAATCAAAGGATCAAGAAATTGAAGAATTAATTTTAACATTTAAAATTAATAATATAGAAAAACAGAAGAATTAATTGGAAAATCGAAAAATTGATGAACTGAAAAACAGAATTGAAAAGTCAAAAATCAATCAATGGAGAAATCGAGAATTTGAAAAATCGACAAATCAAAAACTCAGAAACGCCAATAATTGAAAACTTGAAAAATGGAAAATTTTAAAAAAGAAAAAAGAGAAAATATCCAGAGTTCCCAAAACCAAAATATCGAAAAATTGAGTAATCAGAAAATTGAGAAATCGAATGTTGAAAAATTGAAAAATCGAGAAATCGAAAAATCCAAAAATGGTTACACAATTTTGATTTTTTTCCAAAAATCTCCATGTCTAGGACAAAAATTCTGATTAATGTTCTACCATCTACATGATATTCGTAACATATTTACATACAAAATTTGACAACAATCGGACCAGTAATTTCGGATAATATTTATTTAATAAAAATGGCACAGGCCTATGAAAGTAGCTTATATTTTGCCCGTTTTTCTTAAAATCGGTAGTCGTCTTTTCACAACAAGTTTAAAATAGTAAATTTTGTAGGGAAATATGCATTTTGCAATTACCCTCCGCCCCTCGATCTGACAGCCAATGAAAACTTCATCACTATTGAGGTCGAGACAGGGTTGGGTGGGGCTTAATCTCCTAATGAATTTTTCATGGCCAGACTAAGGAGTGAAACGTAACTGCAAAATCCGTATTTCCTAACAAAAATTACCATGTTTTAACTTTTTGCTGTGAAAAGAAAACTACGTATATTTAGAAATACAGGAAAAATATAAGCCCCACCCACCCGCCCAGTCTCAATTGTGATGATTTTTTTATTCGTCGTGAGCCAAGAGGGCGGAGTTTAATTGCAAAATCCTTATTCCTCGATAAAAAATTACCACGTAACACATGTTTTTGAGTATCATATTGGTCCAAGAATACAATCTATATTAATTAAAAATTAAAGCCAGATTTAGATCGAGCCGGATGGGTGGATCTTATCATTTAGCTTTCTTTTTTACTTAATACATATAGTTAGTATTTTTCGTGAAAAAATAAGGATTTTGCAATTAAGCTCCGCCCCACAGCATACGACAAGTAAAAAAAAATAATCACGATTGAGATAGGGCGGGTGGGCGGGGCTTATATTTTGCCCGTTTTTCTTAAAATTGGTAGTCGCCTTTTCACAACAAGTTTAAAATAGTAAATTTTGTAGGGAAATATGCATTTTGCGATTACCCTCCGCCCCTCGGTCTGACAGCCAATCAAAACTTCATCAGTATTGAGATTGGAGCAGGGTTGGGTGGGGCTTAATCTCCTGATGAATTTTTCACTGCCAGACCGAGAATCGAAACGTAACTGCAAAATCTGTATTTCCCTATACAAAATTACCATTTTAAATGTCTTAAGTTTTTGTTGCGAAAAGAGGACTACATATATTAAGAAAAAAAAAAGGAAAAATATAAGCAGCCCAAAAATTAAACTTTTGAAAATCGAAAAATGAAAATCCGAAATGTCAAAAAATTAAAAAATTGAAAAAGCCACTAACTGAGAAATTCCCAAAAT